TGCATCTATGGTAAGCATCCTCAGAGGTAGTCACTACCTCTGAGGATGCTTGCCATAGATGCAGGTGAAATGTCAGGAGAAAATGCCTCTAGAACATGGCTATATAGCCCGAAAAAACCTACAACAATCCAGTGATTCCGGCCATGGAAGCCTTTGACAATAAACCCAATAGTAGTTTAACTACTCCATTCTCAAGCCCATGGATCCCATTGTTTGGATGGAAAACTTTTAAAAACCAAGGAATACGACTGGTTGTAGCAGCTTCCCTTGATACAGTTGGGAAGGGATAATAAATGTGTGGACTAAGAAATAGCATTTTTCTGTAGCCAGCTCTTGTTTTTCCCATTCTTTTTGTCTGGTTTCCACATATAAGCACAATGTTCTAAGTCTTCAAATGACATGTACACATTCTGTTGTTTGTTCCGTGCACAATTGTGCAGCAAATCTGCCAGAAGAACCTTTCACAAATTTGTAGTTTGTGAGCCTTTCCTTATAATACCCTCATAAATTACTGGGAATTTTTAGATACGCACTACTTCTTTTTTTTTGTCATGTCAGGAGTGACTCCTGGTGTGAGAGAATTGGCCGTCTGCAAGGACGTTGCCCAGGGGATGCCTGGATGATTTGATGTTTTTATCATCCTTGTGGGAGGCTTCTCTCATGTCCCCGTATGAGGAGCTGGAGCTGATAGAGGGAGCTCATCCACCTCTCCCCGGATTTGAACCTGCGACCTGTTGGTCTTCAGTCCTGCTGGCACAGGGGTTTAACCCACTGCGCCACCAGGGGCTTCCTCACTTCCCCTGACAAACCACAATTTCCGTGTGGACATTGGTAGGGATAAGACACCTTTGGTCAAAGGACGAATTAGTAGAGGTAGAAATGATCAACGTAAATTATGTGATAGTCTTGGTTTATAAAAGTGTACTCAGTGGAAAATCTGGTTGTCACTTTGTTATGTGGAACAGTAACCAATGGGAAATGCGAGAGAGAATTCTGCAGTCTCGACACATTCTCTTTTTCTGGACACATTTAGAGAGGTTTCTAAGGGAAATGTATGATGAGTTTGTTTTGTCTTCCACCTTCTGGCCACCATCACTGCTATGACTGTACTATTTCAAGACGAAGTTTCAATTAGCAACAGTAAGGACATGTAACATGTCACAGGATGATTATTTTTGCTTTTTTATTGAACCCTGGTTAATGCCAAACTGCTCAGCAGCAATTAAACGTGTGATCTCTAAGAACACAGGCAACAAGTAGCAGACTGAATGGCCAACCCCACTCCAGTAAAGTAAAGAAGAAGAACAGAGCAAGCTGCGAGGGGAAGGGAAACCGACAACACAGAATCAAACGTGTCTGCCAAACGGATGTCTGATCATAGATGGCATTGGAATTGTCCCATAATATATGGATTTGGGTGAGGTAGATGGCCAGGGGAGAATTGAACGGGCTGAAATAGTCTGCAGGGCAACTGTGCTGATACTACACAGTAGCAATTTATTCCAGAACCTCTTTTACTGAAAATGAACAGCAAAACCTTAAATAAATCAACAATTACTTATTGCTTCATATTTAGGATTATAGATTCTTTAGTTTATCAGTACCTTATGGCCTTCCACTGTGCGTTCTTTGTACATTTTCCATTACAGATACATTCTCTCCAGACCAATAAATTATATTTAAAAAGAAAATGAAAAAAAAAATGAAAAATACATTACAGTTTTGAAGGGGGTGGGAAAGATAGAACCAAACATTTTTGACATACATCTTAAAATAAGATGACTTTCTCTCTCTCTCTCTCTTCAATGGCTAAATATAAATAATAAAGAGCATTCTGTTATATTTACACTGTTATAACTGATATATAACTCATGGAGACAAGAAATGATTGTGGGGAAACATCCAAGTATGTACAAGATGTATTTACAAAAAGTATACTGAAAATGATATGTGGCCATTTCGTTGTCTGCATTTCTCTGCAGCATTTCATAGAGGGCCGATCAGCCGAGTATCAAGCCATGATGGCTGATAGAGTTTGAGCCAGTGCTGAACAGGGTAAGAGCAAACGTGGCTTCGAGCTCCTAGTAAAGGATGTATAGTTTTTCTTGCCAGGCATCAGTTAAGCTTGCCATTCCTTTCTTGCATTGACGCAGGCACTGGAGGAAAATGTGGACATGGTGCTTTAAAATAAAGATGTAAGAGAATAAGGAAAACATACAGTTGCTTCTCCACCAGCAGGTAATACTGAGTGAGATGGCTGTTGGGAAGTACCATAAAGATATAAACTGCAGCAGTTACTGAGCTGAGTCTGCCTAATAAACTCTCATCTGGAGCTTTGGGTAACATAGGATTTTTTTCCATTGCTAGACTTGAAAGATGCAATGCTATCTCCGTCCTACTGCTACAGGAGAGCAACCACTACACCCAGAACTGCAGTTCTTTATTTTGACTGTTGTTTCATCAGGATACATTTTAAGCAAGGGAAAATAGATGATGCACTTAATAAACGTAAGAGTGACAAAATTTGAATGCATAAAGGGAAGTTGCCCTGAGAACTGATGCAATCTTTTGTTTGTCTTAATAATAACAACAAGAACAACTTTTAGCTTGCATTAATGGGAGGGAAATGGCTTAGATGGATGCTCTTGTTTATAACCATGGCTGCATTTCACACAATTATATCATCTGATTTCATCATGCATGTTCATTTATCATTGGCGCAGCACTGACTTATATCTGTAAATGAACCGACGTGGTTAATAACCCAGATGGAATGTTCTCACCATCCAAAATTAACAAGAGTGCAATACATTCAACTAACTGCAAGTCAGCTAGCAATGGGAGCTCAAGCAATATTCATGCAGATATGGACTAATCATAAGCTTGGTTAACTTTGTTTGGGCCTTTTCTCCTTATGCATCCCCACATATCTATGACTTGTCGAGGATAGGGTTCTAACTTAAACAGCATGGTCTTCTCATTACAATAAAGGCTGGAATCTCCCATTAGAAGTATCCCCAAAGATAACTTTTAAGAGATGTACAACCCCCTCCCCACCATGGCCATTTCTATGGAAGAGAGAATAAGTGATATGTCAATCCATTTTCCCTAAGTTGGATGGACTACAACAGATATTTGCAGTGATCCTTGAGTGGTGTCTGTACATGACATGTCCAAAACGAGAATAGTTGGACACATCTTTGCTGATTCCCCTCTGATCCGACATGGAAATGGCCACATGTATTTCAAATAATCCCATTAAGTCTAGAATTCACTTCACTATAAAAGTGATTTTTTCTTGGTGGACATCTAGTGTAGGTGGTAAATCAAGGGGGAAAGCCTCTAATTCAACTTAAACCAATTGCAACATTCACACTTGTCTCAAGCAGACAAAAGTTCTTTCTCCCATCCTGGACATTTCACAGATATACAGGGTGAGGCTGCATAACTTCCTTTTTCAAAATGTGAGCCATTTAGTCAGTTGAAGTAGAGGAGTGCTAGTGGTCTCGTTCGAGAGGCGGGAGTATAAACCAATTGCAACATTCACACTTGTCTCAAGCAGACAAAAGTTCTTTCTYTCATCCTGGACATTTCACAGATATACAGGGTGAGGCAGCATAACTTCCTTTTTTAAAATGCGCGCCATTCAGTCGGTTGAAGACGTAGCGGAGTGCTAGTGGTCTCGTTCGAGAGGCGGGAGTATAACATTTTGTCCTGACACAATTCAGTCACCATCATGYGTTGGAACAGTGAGGAGTGTGCTTTTGCCATCGAGGCCTACTTTTCGAGCGGATTTGGAGTGGCCGGCCCGCTCTCCAGATTTGGCCCCTTGTGATTTTTTTCTATGGGKTTTTTTTGAAATCCCGTGTTTATGTGAACCGTCCAAGGACCCTACAAGATTTGAAGACCAACATCCAGGAAGAAACTGCCAACATAACGCCTGCTATGCTGGCAGGAGTCATGACAAACGGCAGAAATCGGTTTACTCAGTGTATGAAAAATGGGGGATGTCACCTACCTAATTTGATCTTCAAAACTACATAAAACAAAACTTTAGGTATGCGCCTACATTATAAAAAAAAATCTGATTCATACAATGGGTTTTATTAAGTTTTGAGAAAAGGAAGTTATGCTGCCTCACCCTGTATAAACCTCACATCCCTAGTTTCCAATAGACCTCTCAACCTCTGAGGGTGCCTGCCATAGATGTGGGCAAAAAGTCAAGAGAGAATGCTTCTGGAACATGGCCACACAGCCCGGAAAACCCACAGAAACCCAGTGTAACATCTGCTTTTAATAGAATTTTAGATACTTCAGAAATCCTATGCAACATTTTGAACCACAGAAACAAGTGAACTGCTTTCAGACTTAATGCCAACTCCTTCCTAAATGTCATTCATTCCCTATTTGTATTTTTTTTTGTTCTTTGAGGGATCAGTGATTGTGGCCTTTTGTGGCTCTAGAAATGTGAATACCCAGCACAGGGAGAAAATGTTTTAAACCAAAAACATATAAAGTAGAAAGAATTGTTTCTCTCCCATGCCTGTAAATGTTCCAAAACTGAAGGGTTACAAACAAATAATAACAGACAATGGAATACATTTCAGAATATGGTGACTTAAATACAGCAGATTTGTTGCATTTTCTAAGCAAGAGAACGATGTGATGACTAGGTCACCAATTTTATGGGCTTACTAATTAATAACTTTGCCCTTTAAATCAGATGGAATATTCAACCAATCTCCGGGGCAGCTGCAGGAAAGGTGTATTCCCGTTGTAATTTCTCTATAAACTTTTGATAAACTTTACAAATATTTCAGTTTGTTCATTCTATTGGATCTGCTCACTCATTAGCTAATTGTAACCAACCCCAAAATGGATGAAAAATGAGTGGAAAGGACACCTTTAGATGCATAGATATTATTCTATTTTTTTGACAGATTGCAAACTGGTGGGAGTTTAGAAAACTCGGATAAACTGCAGCAGTTACTGAGCTGAGTCTGTTTTTCTGCCTCTTTAGTCCGTTTTCTCAATAATTTGACTATTTAGTAATCAATTAATAACTTCCACTCGTTATATTATTCCACAGCAGTACAGTGACAGAGCCTTGAGCAAGTTTAAAGGAAATATTGTTAAGATAGAAACAATAATTAAGTGATGACCAGGGATTTCTGTCAATCCTTGCCAGTGTTGTAAATGCAAATATACAAAAGATAACGTTAAGCACACAAATCAATGTATTTGTACTGACATTTTAAATTGTTGTGGAAGTAAATTCCTCTACTGTGGTGTTCAACTCCCTGTAGCATATATCACATGTTAAATCTGACCTTGAAAATGCTGCAATTAGCTATAAGACACAACTGCGCTTTTTACATCAATAGAATGTCAGCTTACAAAATGTATTACCTCCGAATGTTTGCCATTTACGTTGGCACTCTTTGCATTTAACACCTTGTCAGGTAGACGAGTCACAGCCAGGATTTAACAAAAACATTTCCTCTTATCTATACCGATTAAGAACCTGCAAGTATACTTTAAATATTGAATAGAGATTCAGTAACCGAGGTATAATTACAATATAGAGATAATATTAAGTACTTAATCTTCTCAAATAGGCAGTTTCTGGTAGTGACTCAACAACCTTGGAAAAGGGCTAAATGGAATACCGTAATTTCCTTGCCTAGAGTTTGTCAGAGCAGAGAGAGATTTTCCACCATCAGTAGCAATGTTGACCAACTTCAGACCTCAACATCCCTTTGCTTCTCGATTGGGTTAAATTTAGCGCCTACAACCCTCAACATGTAGAAATCAACATAGCAAACGGGAGAAATTCTGAACTTAGACATGAATATGGAAGGGGGCAGATGAATGGAGCTTATCGCTTTTGTATTGGTACCATTTTTTAACTGTTCTGGTAGTGTAGGTAAAGGTTTCCCCTTGACATTAAGTCTAGTTGCATTCGACTCTAGAGGGTAGTGCTCATCTCTATTTCTAAGTCAAAGAGCCGGTGTTGTCCGTAGATGCCTCCTAGGTCATGTGGCTGGCATGACTGCATGGAATGCTGTTTACCTTCCATCCAAAGCAGTAGCAATAGATCTACTCACATTTGCATGCTTTCGAACTGCTAAATTGGCAGAAGCTGGGACTAACAATGGGAGCTCACCGAATCTGCAGATTCTAATCGCTGACCTTTTGATCAGCAAGTTCTGCAGCTTAACGGTTTAACCCACCATGCCACCACACTCCATCAGAAAATAGGGAGTATGGAGAGGTATTCTCTAACCATGCCCTTAGGAACAGTGGAGAAAAATAATAATTCATTGAACATAAAATGTGATATGAGAGAAGAGTGATTTACAGTAATCAAGCTCTCTTTTTTCATGTACAATCATTTTTTTTCTGTGTCAGGAGCGACTTGAGAAACTGCAAGTTGCTTCTGATGTGAGAGAATTGGCCATCAGCAATGATGTTGCCCGGGTTATGCTTCTCTTATGTCCCTGCATAGGGAGCTGGGGCTGACAGAGGGAGCTCATCTGCACTCTTCCCTGGATTTGAACCTACGACCTGTCAGTCTTCAGTCCTGCTGGCACAAGGCTTTAACCCAGGGGTCCTCAAACTTCTTAAACTGAGGGCCAGGTGACAGTCCCTCAAACTGTTGGAGGGCCGGATTAGAATTTGAAAAAAAACAAACATGAATGAATTCCTATGCACACTGCACATATCTTATTTGTAGTGCAAAAAACACTTAAAAACAATACAATAATTAAAATGAAGAACAATTTTAACAAATGTAAACTTATTAGTATTTCAGTGGGATGTGTGGGCCTGCTTTTGGCTAATGAGATTGGATTGTTGTTGTTGTTGTTGTGTGCTTGCAAGTCATTTCAGACTTAGGTTGACCCTGAGCGAGGGCCGGGTAAATGAACTTCGAGGGCCATATCTGGCCCTCAGGCCTTAGTTTGAGGACCCCTGCTTTAACCCATTGTACCACTGAGAGCTCCTACATACAATAATGAAGCCAACAAATATATCTACGAGGAATGTATATGCAAGGAAGAATAATGAAAATATTGATAAAATTACTGAAAAGATTACCATTTGTCTTTTTAACACTGGGCTTAGTACAGTGATATTTGTTGCACCAAGAGCAAAAATTTATACTGTGAGGGTTGACTTGGTTTCCTAATGTTTGTGGTACTGAGCTACTAAGAGCCAAGATAGTTCATTTACAAGTATATATCTCTCTTCTCTGAATCATATGCTTGTGTACACACACTTGACGTGATAATGCTTGAAAACCTTTCACCTCAGTACCTGACCAAATATAGAAACTGAAAAGAGATAAAGGGGAAATTCATGTTTTGAGAGGTCTTAGGTTGTACACCACAGACTGGCAAAGTTGTACAAGAGCTTACTCTTCTCTGCCCGAACTCATGCAGAGAAAAGATGGTCCCTCCTCCTTCCTCTTGTCATTACACTACGGGAGCCAAACAGTTCCTACAATATGAAGCTTTCAGAGGCACATAAGATATTTAGAGCAGGCTCAGGAGACAGGGCCATGGAGGTCTTCTGGGAAACAAAGCAACACAGGAATATCTCCTTACTTTGAGAAAGCAGATATTCACTAGCAAATGAAGACTCCGAGGATGCCAGAAAACTAATGCTTTTAGAAAACATTCCATTTTTAGGTTGTGAACAAGCAGCCAGTATTTAGCAATGCAGTTAAACATGCGCTTGAAGTCAATACAATAAAATGGAAACTTCAAGCTTGTGTACATGTGAACTGCATAATTGGAAAGCAGTTGGATTGGTAGTCCTGTAGTGTAACTTCATCAACACTTATAGCATCAGCCTATGCAGTTATGCAGAATTAAATCCCACTGAGTAAGTTTTCCTGATTCATAGGATTAGGATTGAATCCTACAGTGTTCAAGTTACATTCTCCAGATCAGGCCCTCTGGGAGCTTTGAGGAACTCAGCCACATATGGATATGCATCACTGTTAACCCAACTTCAAATAACCAGCCATGAACTAAAAACAGATTTGTTTTCCTAACAGATTCTCCCAAGGGTTGGCAATAGCACTGCAACCAGTTATTTTATTTTTTCATTCACAAAACGAGCATCCATAGGATATGTCTCCTCCAGTTCCTAGGCCGCTCTACAGAAGGTAGGATAAGTAATAAAGGGAAAGTGTACCTAAGCTTTCATGTTTCAAAAGCGAGGTTGACTTGCAATGACTCTGCTGCTGGTGGTAAAAGACCAAATTAGAAGATGGCAGATGTGTTGCTTTAAATCAGGAAATGTCTCAATTATGCAGTCAGCATGGTGGGAAGTTTTAGGGCAAAATGCATGGATGCATAGAGGCTTATCATGCCTCTACCTGTAGCACACATCCATATTTTTGCTCTAAAAACAGGTCTTCTCGCAAACTCTTACATGTGATTTCAGGATCCCTGTAATTTAAACAAACAGATCTGCTACTTTCTCATCCTAGTTTGGTCCACTTGCAAGGAAGGCTTTCAATCAGTGGCCGCATGCATGTACATAACAAAAACCCATGCATGATCGGGAGCCTGGCATACCTAACATGCTTGTCTTACAAATACTGAAATAAAACCAAAAATTGATCGCCTGACATACACTTAATGTCCGAACTTTCCCCATAAATCTTACTTTAGTAAATCTTGGTGCTGTCTTATATGAATTCTGTATCAGTGCAATAGGAGAGATTGCTCGCCAAAGAGTAGTCTGCTATTTTCCTCACAAACGGAATATAAAATATGCCTCAACCTAAAAAGTAGCCTCAAAATTATTGTGATTATATCAATGACATTGCAGTTCCCTCCGTTATCTATTCCCTTTCTTATCTGGTTACTAATACTTGTTCTAAAATACTTATGAACTACAATGATCTTAACCTGGACACAATCCAGTAGGAGGGTTTCCTACTAGTAAAATAACATGCTGTTTTCCCACATGCTAAATCAATAGGTGCAGAACAAAAGGCCAGTTGTGCTCCTACGCAGATCCTAAAGACGAACTTTCAGATGGATTGTGTCCCATTACTTTTTGTGGCCCAACAATCCTAAACTTGTACTTTTAAGAGATGCTATTACACAATTTTAACTTCTCTCTCTGTGATAGGGACAAAACCATAGTACTTAAGCACGTTCAAGCAGATTCTTGGGATGATTAAATGTGAAATCACAATATTTCTGTCAAAGAGCTAATATAGCACTACGTCTTTTTTGTATGCATTGTCTTGCTGCTTTATTTTATTGATTAAATTTAATGGATGCCTTGCCTTTCTATCAAAAAAGATGCCGAGGGTGGCTATTCAGTCACAGCATGCTCTTGGATCTCTAGCATCTCCTCAAGGCTCCCCAAGCAACCCTCAGTTCCGCCAGAGAAGAGAGCAATTAATATAGGGCAAGCAAATAAAAACGGGGCTTTTTTGAATCAGGGTACAACAAGCAAACACAGGGACTGTTGCAATTCTTGCAAACTGTACAGCCATTAATGCAACGCACAAAAAGGAAATGAGCCAGGAATGGCGGGGGACAAGGGGACAGGGACGGGGTGACAAGTTAAGAGGAAATAACCCAGAATGTTAAGAGACTTCGGCGAAATACTGTAGGAACAGCAATCACTTGGAACTTTTACAAAACTTGCTCTCAACATAACATAACATAAAGGCACCATTGATATTGTTCTTATTTTTGAAATACTGTAAAAAAATTGCTACATATGGCACATAACACTTTTGTATATACATTATATATTTAATTTATAAAAGTTTTTTTTCCTGTGGTTTTCTTAATCCTAATAGCAGAACTGCTAAAATAAAATAAATTGTTTTAATTTAAAGGTGGAGTACTTCATTATATAAAATAAAGTTTTACATGTGAATCTATGTGGGTTTTAAAGTGTTTTTTATACAGGGATGGGGTCTTGGTTAGCTATTACACTGGACAATCTTGCTTGCAATTCTTCCTGTGTCGAGAACCGGCTGGTTTGGTTAGTCCTGCTGTCAGCCAACCGGTATGCAGAAGCTGATTCTAGGTCTGCTGCCATGGGGTTTTGTATGCTCAGAAAAGGCGTGTCTTCACCTATTCTTTCATCTTCCATTTCACTCTCTGAGCTACTGTTCTCACAGCTTGTGTCGGTGTCTATTTCCAATCTGTTGGAAATGTGGCCATTGGCTTTTGTTCTTTTTGCCCTCCGACTATTGACTAGTTTCTTTGGGGGCTCTTGTGTTGGTTCATACTCCTGGGTGGTTTCATATTCCTCATCCTCCACTATCCTCAGGGGGCTTGGCGGTAGACTGTTGCTTTCATGGCCAGGATTGTGGTGGTAAGAGGAGTTGAACAGATGAATGTGATGCTCGTATTTCTCCCGTAATCGGGGTGGGGTCACCAGTAGGAGAGGCCTCTCCTCTTCTATGAATGGACTGACTGCCACAGAAGGGACAGACATTGTTAAGCTGGAGACCTGTGGAGACATTTCTGAAGCAGGTGACTTTGGAGAACTTGGAGTGTGGTAATCTACAGGTGACATGCGAGCTGGTGTGGTCATAGCTGATACATACCTAAAGAGGAACAGATAAAAGTTAAGTTGTAGCAGAGTGAACTAAAAACAAAAACATGGCAATATTTTCCATCTTTTATGCATATGTGTGTGCTATTGCCTATTTGGCTTCTAACGTACTGCACTGAAAGATCCTTATAGCTACTGACGAAAGTGGTTTAGGCTTAAATTTGAAGATCTATGCAGCTGTCCATTATTCAGTTTTGTAAAAATGAACATTGTATTCCAAATCAATGCAGCAAACATTTGGGACAATATTCAATGTTAAAGTGGGGGGGGGGGGGGGGGGGGAGAGGGGGGGGGGGGGGGGAGAGAATTAGCCCATAACAGCTGTCCACCCCTATAGTAGTGGAATATAGAACCAGGCATTCTGATAGCAGGCTGACAATAGAAATTATGATAGTGCTATGGAAAAAGGACAATGGACAGGCTTCTGATTAAGTTGTGATTCTGATTAAGTTTTAATCTAATTTTAATGTAACTTATGTAATTGTTGCTTATTTGTTGTATATGTGGGGCATTGAATTGTTGCTGGTTGTAAGCTGCCCTGAGTCCCCCTTTGGGGGTAGAGAAGGGCGGGGTAGAAATATTTGAAATAAATAAATAAATAAAGGGAAAAAGCTCCCCCCTCCCATTGTTTGAAGGACAGTAATTTTTCATTGTTATTGTTGAATACCTTCGTTTCCAACCTATGGTGATCCTAATGTAATCTTACAATAGGGGTTTATTTTGGCAAGATTTTGTCAGAGGATATTTCTCCTTGGCTTCTTCAGAGGTTGAGAGATGTCCCATTGGGTTCTCATGATTGAGAGTGGTTTTGAACTCTAGTCTCCAGAGCCATAGGGCACATCGACACTGACCACTTAAGGCAAGGTGAAGCTGACAGAGAAGGAAGTAATTTCAATGTGGAGTTGAATATATGTGGAACTCTAAAACTGGCTCAAGACCTGGATGGTACTTATAAGCACCACAGAGGTTGGCTTTGGCCCGGGTCCGGTCCTGGGGGTATCTGTGGACACAAGGAAGAATCCATTTTTCCTCCTACCTTCTCCTGCAACAACATACGTTCAGATTGCTGAAATACCTGACCCTTAATTGTTTTCTCCATGCACATTACAGGCTCTATTTTGGAGTACCCTGTGACTGTGTATCTCAGTTTAAAGCCTTTAATTCCTGTTGCTGTGTGCATTTAAATACCATGTTTTCAAGCTGCCTTCAGTCCCCATTACATGGTCAGTGCAGATGTGCCTAAAGTACAGCAATCAAACCACTGCACCACACAGCCTCGTTTTTCATAGATACGAATAATACCCCAACTAAAGCAATAAAATAGAATATAATGAATCCTAAATACTCAAAATTTTGTAAATATATGGTACTAAAGATGCTTATTTGGTTTGTATTTTGTTCAAATAACATACCAAATTCAATAAATTTTAAACTTAACTACAGTATTCATTGATACCATTTTATTTATGTATGGGTTGATTCACTATTCAACAATAGATTGAATGGGTCAGCTCTACTTGACACTAACCAATGTATATGTGGGTTTGCTAGGTGATTTCACTAACTAGCTCAATAAATTTGGAGATTAGTCCAAGGGACTGAGTTATATTGCTTCCTTTCTGCTCCTGGGGGCTGTCCTTCTAACAGCCAGAGGGAAGAAATATACTTCACGTGGGACCCATAGTGGTGCACCATGACAGTAGATGTGTCTAAGGCCTTAGTGGCTGTCACTCAGACAAGGCAAGAGCAATGTGTCTTTTTCTGACAACTACATTTCTTCCTCAGAAGTTTCTGAAGTATTAAATTATTCAAATGCATGTGAATCTGGGTACTTAATGCCAGTATTAAAATACAGAGACATTAATATTGCTGAAAAAGTGATTGGTTTTTACTCAGGTGAAAATGTAATCCTCATTGTTGATAAAATTCAAGGCTAGGTGGTGCAAATTGGCTGCATAGATGTCAAAGGAATTACAAGGTGTTAGATCAAGTATCAGCAATGTTCATTTACAAATGAATTAAACATTGATTCAAGGTTGAGTTTAAGTACTAAAGCACAAACGAAGCAGACATCCTGATTAATTAATTTACTGTCCAAGGCTTTGCATTTCAGAGTCCTTTATATGAAAAAACAGAGAGTGAAAGAGTGGGATTTTAAAAATAAGAGTACACACCTTACACTAATTTTAAAAACTTATTTGTTTACTTTGTTCAGTTGTGCGTCATGGGCTATGGATCACAGAGGCCATGAGTACATCCCATTATTTCTCCTCTGCTCTACTTTTCAAAAGGGATGCAGATGAAGGCCTCCAGATGAGAGACAAATTGTATTTGCTTGAAGGATAGGACTCCTTTAATGAAGAGCAATTGTGCAAGCTTATCTTGGACTGTGTATAGGATGGCAATCAGGATGACATTTTTGAACCAGCATGATTTAAACTTTTGTTATGAGGCTGTAGAAGTCTGAACGTTCTCATGGTTGCTCCTATTTTCAGACTATGGTCCAAATTTTCATTAAAAAACTATCTTATTTACAATTTTATTATTTACAGCATTTCTACTCTGCTCTTCTCAACCCCCCCCCCCCCCCCCCCCCGGAGGGATGGACGGGGACTCAGAGTGGCTTACACTGGCAACAATTTGATGCCACAAATATAACAAATAACAGCAATATAAAACAATAAATAGAACAATAGATTAAAAACAATTAAACATTATTATCACAGTCATATAGTGATCTTCAATATCTGTTGAACTGAAGATCTTCAAAGTGTGTATAAGCATCTTATGACAGCTGTAATGACTGTGTCCAGTCCACACATCTATCTCAGAGATATGTCTCCAGCAACCGCTTTCCTGCTGCAATCTGTGGCATGTCTAGCAGTATTGATTTGCTGACTGGCTAAATGATGGGTCTACACCTGGACAATTAGAACTAACTTCTCTTATCTTCAGACAGATGTTGAGAAATTGTACAATTTCTCCCCAGCATGTGCCCAAGGTCTGCAGTTGTGTACTATTTCCTGGTCATACGATCAACCATCTTGTTCACTTTACAAGTAGGTGCTATGTGCTATTTCTGAGAAAGTTTCCTCAAACAAGCTTTCATGATAATTGAGTTTGGCATTGGCTGCTTAAAGAGAAATTGTTCTCTTGATTGTCATTCAAACTGTTTTTTTAAAATAATGTGGTCCGTTATGATAGTCTGGCAGCAGCAAAAAAGCAATCATTAAAATAGCTGTGAGTGAAACCATTTGAGACAGAACCTCTTTACAAACTGGATCACTCATTGCAGATTTTGGTTATCTCAACTGAAGTCTTTTGTCAAACACAATGTCTTCTGAGGAACCCTGGAGGTCAGTTTGCTCTCTGCACTTATGTTACCCGAGACTCTTTCATACTAAACAAATATAGCACTGTGTTTTCATTTTAGGTGTCGTGGTTCCATCCTTTGGATTTCTGGGGTCTGCAGTTTAAGCAGAAATATTTAGGATTTTCAGGATTTTCTGAAGTAGAATAATAGAAACGCAGAGTTGGAAGAGACCACAAGTGCCATCTAGTCTAACTCCCTGCCATGCAGAAACACAGGATCAAAGCACTCCTGACAGATGGAAATCCAGCCGTGTTTTAAAAACCTCCAGAGAAGGAGACTCCACCACACTCTGAGGCAGAATATTCCACTGTTGAGCAGCTCTTATATCCAGGAAGTTCTTCCTAATGTTTAGGTGGAATCTATTTTCCTGAAGTTTAAATCCACTGCCCTGGAGCACCAGAGAAGGAACTTGATCCACCTTCAATATGACATCATTTCAAATATTTAAATATGGTCCTCATGTTTCCTCTTAATCTTTTTCCCAGGCTAAACATACCCAGCTCCCTCAGACGTTCCTTGCAGTGCTTGGTTTCCAAATCTTCTACCATTTTGGTTGCCCTTCTCTGGACATATTCCAACTGGTCAATATCCTTCTTCAATGATGGTGCCCAGATCTGGACTCAATATTCCAGGTGAGGTCTTAACAATAAAGAATTAAGTAGTACTATTACTTCCCACAATCTAGATACTATACTCTAATGATGTATTCTAGAATTGTACTGGCTTTTTACCTGCTGAGAAGTGGAAAGGTGCCTGGACTCTGCCTTCAAATAACTCAGACAGCCATACCTTTTTTGTTATTGTCAGTGAAGCTAATTTATGTCAGTACCTTTCACTGTGTGGAGAGTCACGATAGGAGTCGGGTGTCTCTCTTGCATGCCTGAGGAAAGTATTGATTTCTCGGGGCCCTCCTATGCCGTTGAGGCGCCCCCGGGGACCAGATGGACTTGCATGCCGGCTGTTCTCCACAGAAGAGCTCATGAGGGCAGAATGGCTTTCAGAGATGATGCTTTCAGTCCGGCCGTTACTCCAACTAGTAAAGAGCCGTTGGGAAGAAAAACAGATAACATTTTAAATTTAGACAGGAATGGGTGTGTGTGTGTTATGTTTCTAATGATTTTCTAGTGTGCTTAATAGATTTACAGGATTTTGAATTAATCTATGTTGTGGTTCTGTCTGAATGACTGAACGGATAATTTTAGAGTATTATGTGCACAAAATAAGGTTGTCCAGAAACATTTAATCCTAAATGGTGGTGCTTTTCAGCATTTTACTATTATAGAAAAGAGTAAATAATGAACAGGTCTTGCCTTATCCTACATCAAAAAAGAAAAAGAATTATATTATATATAGACAAAGAACAAATTATCTGCTCTTAGAGAATTATACAATTAAAGCTAAGCACATTTGCCTAGAGTTTATTTAAATAATCAGCAAACAGATGCGCCAACTGCTTAGCCTTTGGCTAATATCCTCCAAGTCTCTAATCAAACATAATAGTGTGGTATACAATTTAAAGATAACTGGGAGGGGAATATGGCTGCTGTGAGGAAAAGAGGGTCTTATTTATATTGTGAATTCTCTCTTTTCAAGAAAAAAAGTAAACCTGGAGAGGAGGAGTATGTGGCACAGATCCAAGTGGAGAGGAACCTCCACTAACATAGTCATGCCATAATCTCTCTCAGCTAAATGTAAAGCTATCTTCTTCACACAAGCCCCCTTCTGAAGGGTATTTGGAGCCAAGGTGCTTTAGGACATTGCTTCTGAAACTGTGGGTGCTGATCCTTAGTGCAATGTTGGAGTCTCAGAAAACTTGGCAACAGTAAAAGTTTACTGAATGTCACCTAGTGGCTGTTTTAAACATTCATATGAATATATTGAACAGTGTTTCCAGTGGCCTCTGCAGAGGATGCTTCAGCTATACTTTATAAAAGGGAAAACCAGCCTGTTTACCAAGCCTTTAAAATGCTAATTCTTGTCAGTAAATATTTGAGTTTTTATACTTATTTTATATACATATATACCTGGAGTGTCATAAAAGTTTCTCAGGCCAAAAGGGATTTCAAGTGGAAAAGTTGAAGAAGCCCTGCTTTAGGTGAGGAAAATCACAAGAGTGCTGAGCTAATAGCTAGCACTATATGGAACCTGTCTCTGGTAGAAGGTGCATGCAAGGTAGCTACCTCTTTCCCTGATGGTGGTGGTATGTGAAGAGAATACGCATGTTGCTGTCACTGCTCTTCTGCCTACCTCTTTATGAGAGAGCCAAAACTCTTAACTACTCATGTTTATGGTCTCTTGCATGAATGGCTTATTCAGCAGGTTCTTGGCATATCAGGAAAATCAGTGGTTCCCAACCTGTGGTCTGTGGACCACCAGTGGCCTACAAGAATGAAAATATGGTCCGCGGCCTCACCACTACTACATCACTACGTGGCAACAAGAGCCACTGTTCTTGCAAAACACTCTTATAATGCCTAAACAATAGGGATGTTGGGAGTGGCTGACTACCCATGAAATATTACTACTACCACATCAGCTCTAGATTATTAAATATGGTTTTCTTTGGGTGAGCAGATGGTGACTACTGGATGGCATATGTTCTGTATCCAGAGGCAGCCCTAGGTAATTTTCAATGGTAAGCAAACAGTATTTTGGTCCCCCCCCCCCTCCAACCAATCACTGATATATATTTTCTGTTCATCATGGAAGTTCTGTGTGCCATATTTGGTTCAATTCTATCATTGGTGGAGTTCAGAATGCTCTTTGATTGTAGGTGAACTATACATCCCAGTAACTACAACTTGCATATGTCAAGGTCTATTTTCCCCCAAGAGCACCTCAAGAGCGCCCCTGGGCAAAAATCAACTATACTGCAAATGCTTACTTTACGTAATGGGTTGAGCCGCCCCTGTCTGTATCAGAAACTAGAGCTGATGTGGTCTATCCAATGAAATGTTCTCAACCAGCACCCCAAATAACCTAACCAAATCTAAAGTTGACCAAAAACAGATTTGTAATCCTTTTCATACTAATATTGGAGAGTGGTCTCTGGTCAAAGTGGTCCCGGTTCAAAAAAAAAAAAAAAAGGTTGGGAACTACATAGTTAAATGAAATGAAAGGGAAGATGTTTGCAAAGTGAGTGTGAGAGAAATTGTAATAGAGTTCTATACATATCTGCTGAGAAGTATATCTCACTGGGTTCAGTAAGGTTTCCCCACAGATAAGTGGGTGTAAGATGCTAGTTATGAGTCCTCTTTGAAGGACAGGTATTTTTTTCTTCTACATGTCTAGCATTTCAAAATCAGGATTGTTAAACTCCAGGCAAATAAGTATAAGTGCCTAATAGGTTATGATTATGAGAGAATGCTACTGGAACATGGCCACACAGTCTGAAAAACTCACAGCAACCTGAGCTATGAACACTTGGAGGATCACACACTGTGCAGAAATTATCTTGCTCGCCACATTTTCTCAAGAAAAAAAGTTCTTCTCAAGCTATTAAGAGACACTGATGCAAAGTATGTGTAATCTGAAGGAAAATATGGGGGCTAGACTCCACAAATCAAGACCAATTGGCTTTTTGAAAATATAATCTGGAGAAGTCCTTATTTTATATATAAGTTCTAATTATATATGCTTCCCCCCAAACATTGCTTGTTTATACACAGATGAGGCACCAGTGAAGTGTCTTAAAATTTCCTTTAAAAAGAAAATCAGAGCTTCTTAGGTCATTTCACCAGCTGGTAGACTCTCTGTAGTATTCTTTATACATTATGTTTTAGAAAATCGCTGTCTTCAAGCAACTGTGTCCTTCAATCAGAAAAAGCTACTCATTAAAACTCCCTGGCAGAGTAACTACACTTTTGGACAGGCGTTTTAAAATTGCAGAGATGAGAGGACCTTGGAGATGAAGTAGTTCGACCCCTGCTTAACAAATCTCTGTAGTGGAGGATGCCGCTATAACATTTCTCCATGAGAGGCCATTGCCAAGCAGTTCTTATTGTCAGGATGATTTTTCTGTTGTTTACCAAAATCTATTTTCCTGCAATTTCCACCCACTGGCTCTCATTCTAGTCTCTGGAGCAATGTTGAGCAATTCTGCTCCATCTTCAGCATGGCAGACTTTCAGATATTTGAAGACTAGCAGAATGCCTTCCCTTAATCTTTCCTTCTTAAAAATAACGATACCCAGCTCTTTTAACTTTGCTTGTAAGACCTGGCTTCCAATCCCCTCTCCCTTGTGTTTGTTCTCCACAAGATGCACTCATCAAATACATTGTAAAGGCTGGAAATGAAGCCAGTGGCTCATTTTTAGGCACCATGGAACTCTACATCTGTGCCTTTGTGATAAATGATTTGTTTCAATCATGCAGGAATTCTGATTGCAAGTTTCTCATCCGCACCCTAGGCATTGTTTTCTTCTCTGTCACACAGAAGAATCTACCTTCCTTTTTCTTTTCCCAAATGGGTGAATCATTTGGATGGATTTTTGTAGACTGAAGTTTGTGTGCACATATTCTTGTTGATTGGGATTCCCAATGGTGCTATGGATTTTGAAAAGTTACGAATATGGGGCAAAAGGAAGAGACATGTCAAGAGGAAGTTGTGTCAAGAAAACCCTTGTCATGACTCCACCTGGAGCAGTGGTGGCGCAATGGGTTAAACCCTTGTGCCAGCTGAATTGCTGACCTTAAGGTCAGTGGGTCAAATCCGCAAGATGGGGTAAGCTCCCGTCTGTCAGCTCTAGCTTCCTATTCAGGGACATGAGAGAAGCTTTCCACAGGATGGTAAAACACCCGGGCATCCCCTAGGCAACATCCTATTCTCTCACACCAGAAGTGACTTGCAGTTTCCCAAAATTTGCTTCTGACATGAAAACAAATTGAAGATCTTTCAAAAAGTAATACTTTAATTTTAAAAAAAATAAAACAATTGTATTCATTTCAATGGGAGAGCAGCATACTGCTTCCTTTTCAGCCTCCTACCTGTGACTTGGTGTCTGAGTTACAGTTGTAGAGTGGTGGGTTGTTGAGGTGTAGTGGCTTGTAGAAAATGATGTCTCTGTTTCTCTCTCAACAGCATGCTCACTGGATATTACATTTTTGGATACATATTGCTAAACAAAGAAGAGAAAAAACATTTATTTGTAACACAGCTCATACTTACGCATCAAGCTTGTACCCTCCACTTTTATGGATAGAGAAAAGGATAAGAGGCAAGAAGAGCCAGCACGGAGTAGTGGTCCTAGACACTAGTGTTGACTAAAACTTGAGGATTTAAGTTCTCACTCAGTCATGGAAACCCACGAAGTGACGTTGATACAAGCTACACTCTCTCAGCCCCACCAGAAGGTAAATGGCAAGTCTCCTTTGAATAAATCTTGCTGAGAAAGTCTCAGGATGTCGTAGGTCATAAATGATGGAAGGCACCCCAAAAAAATGAACAAAAATAACTGTCAAATTCACATACTGGAGCTATATCATTTCTTGAATTGGACAATAATTATTTTCATGAATAATTATTCTAGAAAGGATTCAAATTAAACATAGCAGTTCCAGCAGAAACAATAGCTTCATTATATAATTCATATCTTGAACTAGACCAGAAAGTTTCTATTTTTAGTGAGAGTCAGCCTCTGGCCCATGGATATTTGCTGATCCTCAGTTAAGCCAGTAAGGGCTTTAGATGTAAGGCTAGACTTTGCAGTAGGAGCTATCTATATGTGCCAATTTTGCATTTCAAATACTTTCTCTGTATACACAGAGCTACTCGGAATTGGACAGTTGTCTGGATTTTAATGCAGGGAGCCATTCTGTCCTTTAGCTCTTTGTTAAACATGTTGGCAATGGCATAATTTTCCTGTTTTTTATGAACCAGTCTTTCAAAATGTTTAGTTTGGCTGTCATCTGAAGACTCCATAGTGATCAAGAAAAACAATGGAGTATGATCTCCGGTCTATTCTTTCCTGCTACTATTGCTACAAAAAACAAAAAAATGTAATTGGCAGAGGGAAAGGCATGACTGTTTGGTGGCTAAGTAACAGGCAGAGCTTGTCTACAATTTGGCTCTCTCAGGGAATGAGGTAATATGGGAAATGTCTGCATTGTTTAAACACTCAAAAGGATCTTGGAGCAGGTGATTTTTTTTCTGTTGAAACTGAAGGCAAAACTCTTCCCGACTGTAGGGATCCTTAGGATTTTCCATACGCAATAGTGGAAATGAATTCAGCTTTAACCTACTTGTACTGCCAGCTGCATTATATCCTCACTCTCTTGTCAGAGCAATTCCCCATTGTTTATCTTTATCCTATGGATCACTGATTGACTAGGTAATAGTTCATGATAGTCTCCTTCCAGTTCTCACAGCCTTGAGTGGTACCTCTTAAGTGAAGTGATGCCTTGCAAATCATGCCTGGGGGTGGGGTGGGGGATAAAATGCTTAGTTTGGCCAACTTCTTTTTTCTTTTGTCCTGACCAGCAGGTGTCCTTCTATTTGAGCTCCAAAAGGTGGAATTATTTTGTTCAAAAGCAGTGAATACCATTAGTCAGTAGGCATCTACCAGAAGAAACATGACAGTTTCAACATTATCATCTGAGAGCCATAATGCAACAGCTCTGCCAGATTCGTAACACTCTCCTTTTCCTTAAATAAGTTTGGGCCCTGAACATATTTTGGAAGCAGGATAAGGGCACAAGCCACATATGGAAATCGATGCACAGACAGCAATTTTTTTGTTGAAATAAAGCAAAGATAGACTTAAGAAGAAGCCTGTCCAACAAAATTTATTTACGTGATCTAAATTGAATGCAGACCTAGCAAGCATGCTTGCTTATGCATTTACGAAAGAAAAGTGATCAATGCACAATTTGCATAACAACAACAACAACAACAACAACAACAACAACAACACTTTATTTGTACCCCGCTACCATCTCCCCAAGGGGCTCGGTGCGGCTTACATGAGGCCGAGCCCAAATACAACAATACAAGCAATAAACAACAATACAAGCAATTAAAAAAAATTGACAATAAAAATATACAACATTATCAATAAGACAACACACAATTAAAAACAGTGGCAAGGCCAAATGTAAAGTTAAAATTGGAAATAATGTTGGGACATAGATGAAAAGAAGATAGTGGTGTTTGTGGAAGGGCATATGAGCAGACCTAAAGAAATGTAAAGTGCTTTGGAGGACAAAGTGCTATGGGATCATTATTCCGGGAAGGCACGCTGGAACAGCCACATCTTCAAGCTCCTTCTGAAGACTACCAAAGTTGGGGCATAGCTTCATAATCAGTAGCAAGAAGGTGAGCGCAGGGAGCACACTGCACCTCAGTTATGAGAAAAAGCTTTTCAAAATTGCCAATGTATTTGACAGGATTAATCTGAGTGTCTCATAGATTCCATTTTGTTAGAATAGATTCTGCTGCAGACTATCTTGAAGGCAGGTGGCTTGACCAGCTTCAGTGTTCAGAATTTATTCTTTCAATGTATATTGTATTACAGAGTGTCTGCTCATCCATTATTTAGCAGCTACAATTTCACGCAGAAAACCAGAATGAATCCTACAATACAATTACAATATTAAACAAAATATGAAATAGCTAAAATCACTGAAAGATCATGGTCCTAGTAATGGGGATGTGCTGTATATTCTCATTTCAAGAACAGGTGCTGCCTTTGCTCAACCAAAAGGTTGTCCCTAACTCAAATCCATGAAGGACAGTTTCTTAAATAGAAGCTCTCTCTTCTCTACTCTGAAATTTTCAAAAACACAATTCTGAAAACTAAAATTTTCAGGATGTATACTACTTCTAAAAAGATGTTGCATGACACCTCCACCATAAACATCCTATCCTTTCCTGAGTCATCTGTTTAATTTCAGAGAAATTCACTTTTCTGGTCCATGATACAAACTGAAGAATCACTGGTTTTTGTAAACAACGTATTTATTTTAAAATTTTAATTGTAAAACAATACTCCTTGATTGCAGGCACAGAAGCTATCACTATTATGCAAACTTTCTATAACTTCAATCACAGACTCATCCAGAAAATCCAGATTATTCTGAGTCACATTGGAGCTCTGTAGTGGAGAAAGATAAGCATGTTATGTGGAAAGCAAGCATTTCTAGCTGTTTCCAATTGTTAATAATTGGCTAGTGATGGTACACATATAGGATTCCTGCTAATATAGAACTTACATTAACCAGCTGTACATTTTCTGGGGGTGGGTGAGGATGGTGAGGCCCATTTGCCATGTTGACTCTGTGGTTACGTTCCGATCGAAGGCCCTGCCGGAGACGATCGTGCAACTTTTTCCGCTGTTTCCTGCACATGAAATAAGGTGCTACTTTTAACAGTTGCATACACAAATAACATGTTTCTGCAATCATTACATACCAGTGAACTCCCATTCTGGGACATCATCATGTCCTCTCAATGACAAAGCACTTCTGATACTGAACATTCACTAGTAAAAACTTCCGTTTCTTCCTCCACAACTGAGAAGGAAGACCCAATATTTGTGGTTTATGTATCTTCTTTCTCTAGACAGAATGGCTAACCATAGACTTTGTTACACACAAGGACTTTCTGTAGCATCAGATGAAGTTCTTGTCCTGTGTCTTTAATAGTTGGCATACAGGAAAATATTTAAGAGATGCAAGATTTCTTCTTCTTCCCATCACTGCATATTGAAATAAATCCAGCCTGATAGAACTTCTCTTTGTTTCAGAGGACTTGAAGCAAGAATCAGAAATGAATCAGAAATATTTGGTAACTCCTGGCTTTTAATGCTATGCTTGGCATCCTAAAGTGAAAAGATTCCCAAGGCTTTGACTAACCAGACTAGATACGTCAATTTTATCACATGAAATGGACAAGCAGATTTATTTCAGAAGTTTATGGTGTATATAATCCCAGGCACATTATTAGATCCAGAACAAGTAGTACTTCCTGGAATAGTGGCTTTTTACCACTGACTGACACTACAGCCCTGAAACCCTTTCCACAGATTTGTAGTACAGTAGGCCCTCAACTTTCATGGGATTAGGTTCTCAGGTCACTTCGGAAAAGTGGAAAGACCTCAATTTTTTTTAAAAAACCCTTTAGGTCAGAGATTAACCACGGAATCATCCTGGAAGTTCCTAGAGAGATCATATTTATCAAACCCATGAATCAAATATGGAAAAGCTAAACCTGCAAACATGGAAGGGTGGCTGTATTTATTGTTATGAAGGCAGCTGAAATGCTGCAATTGTGTGCATCTGAACTCATTTTGAACTCTCTGCATCTTTCTGATATGTTGATCACTTCCCTGCAGCCAGTAATGTATAACTGAGGAACTGGGCTGGCTCTGCTACCAGAGATTAGCTATGTAATTTACTTTAGTTGGCAAAACAGTACAAAGGAAAGGTATGCTTGCTTTGAAATAAACAAATCAGAAATAAAACCAATTAAAGGTTCTGATCCTTATCGCTTCAAGACATGAACTTGGTTCAGGAAGAAGCAGCAATCATTCACTGAACCTTTTACCTGCTCTCCGGTCACAGAAAGCGCTGAATCACCCACTCACCCATTGCATTATAGATGAGAGGCAGTAACAGCATCTGCTGCAAAATCAGCAGAATCAGGAGACACTGCTGCAGTAAGGACATATGCTTGATGACAGCACAGATCAGACAACATAATATCTAATCCTTACATATTGAGTTTTTGTATACCAATAAAAAGTCTTGGAATGAACAAAAATACACAAGAAATTGGATTTACCTTGATTAAAAGTGTGTCGTCCATGCATGTCTGAATGAAGTATTTACAATCTGGCAGATATTATTATTAAAGCCAATTTATCAGGGCACATCTCCACTGCTATAAATCTTGATTTATGGTCCATTTGTACAAAAATCTAGAAAGACTGCAAACTAGAAAATTCCACTAGCCATTGCTTGGGCTGCAGTCTGCTGTTCTGACTCTTGTTTAAAAATAGGACAAAGGCACTAAAATAGACCTTCCCCATCAATGAGTCAGATTTTTAGCAGGATCAAAATTGATACATCTCTGTTAGCAAATGCAGCACTGCAAGTGCAATATGACTTTGCAATTTAATGATTCAGTTCAGATGCAACAGGAAGTTATAGCTTTCTACTATACGACTAGGGCATGATGATCTTGAGGACTGCAGTCTCCCTTTTTCCCTCCTCATTTTGAGCCTCTGAATGTCTACTTCCAACTTTTTAACCACTGTAAAAACTTGTGTGTAGAAAATTTTAGTCAACAAATAAACCAAAAAAAGTCCATGTAAGTACTGTATGTTAACTCTTGTTTAAAAAAAGGAGCAATCACCTTCTCAGAGTAGAATGGCAGGAGAATAGCAGCAGTCGGGGGCAGGACTCTTTGAGATAGCCCATTCCCATCTATGCAAAATGACCCATGACTTACCCATATCAAAATCTATAATTTTGGCTTTAAAACATGCCCTCAACTCATGTATGAGGTACAATTCTCCATAATTCCCATGCTCATGAAACTATGGAGTATTCAAAGTATTGTTAGTGCTCCAAAACCTCTGTTCGCTTCTGATTTGTTCTTAATAACCATCACTGAAATATAAGTATGTGCACCATAGATATCTGGAGTACAGCCTGCTTTTTGTACCACCCTCTGTCCAACCCATGAGAGAAGAGCAATGTGGAGAATGTTATAACTTTAGGATGCCAAACACAGCATTATAAATGGGGGTTCACTCAGTGGTCATTGAGGTTTTCCTTCTACTCTTGTCTTCAAGGCCTCTGGAGCAAAAAATCCACAGGGATTGATTGATTTATTTCAGTATAGAGTGATGGGGATAAAGTACATCTCCTAAATTTTTCTCCTGCATTTGTATCTCATGGAGATGACTAATAGAAAACTGAAAACAGTCTCTTTTTGCCGGAAAGGCAATGGGAGGTGGGCAGGAGAGAGACAGTGGAGCCCAAAGCTTACCACAATCCATTATTGTGATTTCTGAATATGTCTGAACCAGCCTTGTACCCTTTCCAAAGCTGACAATGTGTCATTCTTCCTGTCTCTGAAGGGCATTCACTCACTAACCAAAACAACACATCACTGAAAGGGAGCAGACAGGAAAAGGCTAAATGTGCACACTGTTCCTTTCAGCCATGCCTCGTCATTAAATTAATTGCTGTGCAGATAGAACATTTTGGAAGATGCACTGTTCTGTGCAATATCACCTTCTCACTTGCCTAACACGGTCACCGGAAGTGTCACAAGCACCTGTCTAAGGAACTCATCAGATGGCCACTAGGCTCCATTTCCATCCGCTTAGGAAACAGAGCCCCACGGAGGTTATCACATGATGTAAGGGCACTTCCAGTAGGAATTTGTGGGGTTCCATTTCCTAAGCACATTGTGATGGAGCCCAAAGACTTCTATCAGGAGTTGGGTGTCAATCAAGTCCTGATAGAGAAAGATGGGATAAAGAGGGGAGAAGATGGGGAAAGGTGTGGTAAGCATGTGGGACGGCTGGCCATCCCTGAAGATGGGGAAAGATGGGGTGAAAGGGATAAGACTGTTCCCCCCATTTTCCCCTCGCCCCAGGTGATGAAGTCTTAAGTCTTTTCCTATAAGTCACTTCAATATCAAGAAGGAAAAACAAATAGAACAGGAGTGGACAATGGTGGTGGGCCTGTCAGCCAATATCTACTCTGAGGGTTACATGGGCTGCCCATTCCAACCACCCAAACAAGAAAAACGTAGCGGTGGCTGGAAGTTCCCTCTAAGTTTTGAAAAAATAAGTTTTTTTTATTTTTAATTGCTGAAACCTCAAACTCATTTAAAAAGCTAATTGTCTGTCTTGGAGGTTTCCAGGAAAGCATTTTTTTGGCAGATAAAAGATGGCCCAGGGAATTTGAAGGGGCTCAGGGCAGCAAAGAAAGATTTGAAAGATTGCATGCTGATCAAATGATACAAAATATATTCATTATATACTGTCTGCAATGCAATTACTTCCTCTGCAGTGATGCAACAGAATTATCCGCAGGGCATAGACTATGCTTAGGGCAAGATAGGATATGATGATGATTATTATACTCCGCTTTTTCTCTCCACAAGGAGACTCAAAGCTGCTTACATTATAAGCATTTCAATACAATTAAAATCTATAAATAATGTAAACATTAACACAATGGTATTAAAAAATTCAGTTAAAATCCATTCCTATTCTTAGATGTTGCAAAAGGAAATGGTTTTGTATAACCTGAATGAAATGTGCCTGCTGTTTTCATTCAGGGACAAGAAGTGTAATAATAAAACTGTATGTCTCAAATGTGTACAAAAATCAGGAAACAATTATCTGTGCTTTGGGATGCAATTAAGCAAGGATCCATGATGTCAAAAGACACATCAGATTTTGAATTTATCATGGAATTTAGCCATGGATCTTGTTACAATGCAATTCACTGCTCTGATTTTTTTTGTCTGTAGTGCTCTTGCTGATGGAACACGACTTTAAGACAAACATTTAACCATTATTTCTATGTATGGAATCAGGCTGCAGTATTTACTGAAATAACGCAATTATGAAAACATACCAATCACATTTTATAATTGAAATCATAAAACCTTGTGACCAAAAACTTAAAGTAGACTCGCTGGAACTTCAATTACATGTGACAACATTTCTTTCAATGGGTCAACTCTTTCTAACACTAGATCTAGTCCAATGGTTCCCAGCCTTTGGTCCTCCAGTTATTTTGGACTTCAAGTCCCAGAAATCCCAGCCATCTGACCAGCTGTTAGGAATTGTGCGGGCTGAAGTCCAAAGCTTCTGGAGGACCAAAGGTTGGGAACCACTAATCTAGCCCATAACACTTGCAGTGGCCAGCTCACAGGGGGTGCAATAAGTTTGGGGAACGCTTACTTACCCTGGAAATAACTGTTGTAAATGTATGTTTATTGCATTAGACTAAATGTCACATCTTGCCATTGCATCCTAAACACCATTAAAGGTAGTCAATTCTTAGATTTATGCTTGAGTCAAGAGTAATTGTACAGCCAATTGTACAACAAGACTGAGAATCTGCATTTACTATTTCAATGTTCAACTTCAAGAAAATGAGATGTTTTTGCAGTGATCTCAGTACATCATTAGAAAATGTGAGGGATCACTTCCCCTGGGAAGTATTATCTGATTATATAGTCTATTCCAGCTGTACTTTAAGGGTACAGAGACATTGCTAAGTTTATTTAGCTGCTTAATCTTGTGTCAAGCATGTTTTTCAGCCATTTGTTTTGCGAGACTCCTGATCCCTGTCACAGATAAACCCAGATATAGAAAGGAAGAGGAAGGTTTACTTGGTTTTGCAGTAGGCCACAACACACATGATGCCAACTACAAGGAGAGCAATGCAGATGCCAGTTATGGTCAACACCCTTTTCTGGTAGAGTTCCTCAGCTTCTAGAAAAGGACAAAATGGAGAAGGTTACGACATGTACGCTAACTAATAAACCAGAGACAGTATCAACAAATGCAACATACAGACTGTCATTTTACAGGCCCACACAATGAAATTAATGGCATAATCATTATGCTACGTAAATCCAATTAGTGAGATCTAAATGAGAAACTGTGATGGATGATGAGTATTAACTTTAAAATAAATGTTATACAAATGAACCTAATATGAAATTAACGTAAACATACATTTTGATTTTACATTTACAAAACTGTTTGCTTACAATGCACTGACGGCATAGAAAAAGCTTTCCTTCTTACAAAGATAGATGGGAAGAACACAAATTTTCAATGCCATCAAACTTTCTCCGCTTTCTTTATTGGGATCCTTTCACACTGCACAATGGTAGCACTACGATTCCACTTTTAACTGCTTCGTTCGCATACTATAGAATACTTAGATTTCTAGATTAAGAAAGGGACGTTTGGAATTCTAAGCCTCAGAGCATTAGTTCCTCCTCAAACTACAAGTCAATGAAACCATAGCAGTGAGAGTGGGATTGAAGCGTTATAACTGTGCAATGTGAACGGGACCATGGCATTTTAAAACATCCTGATTATTTTCCAATATTGTGCTGAATGTCAACAATGTTTACATCTGATATATTATAGGTATAGCTCAGGCATGGGTAAACTTTGGCCCTTCAGGTGTTTTGGACTTCAACTTCCACAATTCCTAACAGCCGGTCGGCTGTTAAGAATTGTGGGAGTTGAAGTCCAAAACACCTGAAGGGCCAAAGTTTGCTGATACCTGGAATTGCTTGAGTTTGGCTTGCAATTACGCCAGTAAAACATACTTTAGCTTTTAATTTCAATCCCCATTCCCATCCCAATTTGAAAATAATTAAAAATGCATTGTACCACAGACATCATATGCTTGTTTGTATGCTGTAACTGCAGTGAAAAGGATATTTGCATTAAAAAAAATATTTTCCTCTTAAGTGACCTCACTCAAAGATATTTTATCATCATTAAGTAATTCTTCAGCTAAGCAATGTTTGGGTTGGAAAAAGCATCACATTCCACTGTCTGTCACACTTGGCAAAATGTAATTTGTATGTTGAACAAAGGAAATGTTACATTTACAATACTGATACTGGCTCGAGTTGCTACAAAGAGCCAGCACTTTGTCTTCCTCCCTGCTCCTTAGAAGGGCATGAAGTTTTAAAAAACACAATTAACTGATATACATTAAAATTATCACTTCATCCAGATGGAAAACTAATAGTAACCATGGTATCAGGAGCCAACAAGGAATTGCATGAGCTAGAAGGAATGCTTTTTAAAATCGAACGATAGAAGTTCATATTTAAGAATGAGAAATTTCTTCCAAATGTGGTTTTATCAATAAAAGAGGATTTGGAAATCTGTATTTTGAAACAATTTGTGTCTGGCCATATCCTGGTCTGATGCTTTCTGTATGTTTGTTGATAAGGCATCTGCCACAACGTGTTCGGCCTTCATCTGCTCTGAGATTTCTAACTCTAGCCACATTCCACACCATTGTGGTCACTGTTGCTCCACTGAGCGCAAATATTTGCTTAGACATTGACCCATATGATATCATCGTACTGGGCAATGAGCAACAATTGGCAGCATGTACTGATATGCTGTGGCCTGTCATTGAGACATAACAGTTTGGGAGGAAGGAACTTCCATGCCGTGTTGACAGTGTCTGGAGGAAATGTTGTTTCCCTTTCAAGGCATTTGCAGGAATCGAAAATGCAGCCTCCACACAAGATGTGTTTCAATACAAGGGTTTATTTTGTAAGCCATGCAATTATGGCACACCTTCCAGGTGTTTTTATTCTACTTATTTCATTCAAATAGCAAAAAGGACAAAATATTGAGTCATTTGGTACCACTTTCACTGCCATGACTCTTGCTATGAAATCTCAGGGTTTGCAGTTTGTTTTATTGCACGTCATTGAACTATGGTATTACAGATGTCTGGCACAGAACCCCAAGTATATAAAACTTTGATGGCAGCTGAAGTGGTATCAAAGCATTGCATTTGTGTATTGTGGATAAAACCCCGAGGCTGTTTCCTTGTGAGTCTACACATACAGAATTGCTCTGTGAATTATTTGTACTTGTAATTTTTGACAGCCTTAGTGAGGACTTTTATATATTATCACATATTTAACCACAATTACAAAAATGTTTAATGGAAAATTGGTTTTTCATTATTTGCCAAGGTGGTGCAATGGATTAAATCAGGTCACAGTCCCTCAAACTGTTGCCAGGCTGGATTATAATTCGAAAAAAAAACATGAATGAATTCCTATGCACACTGAACATATTTTATTTATAGTGCCAAAAACATTTTAAAACAATACAATAATTAAAATTAAGAACAATTTAAACAAATATAAACTTATTAGTATTTCAATGGAAAGTGTGGGCCTGCTTTTGGCTGATGAGATAGGATTGTTGTTGTTATTGTGTGCTTTCAAGTAGTTTCAAACTTAGGTTGACCCTGAGCGAGGGCCGGGTAAATGACTTTGGAGGGCTGCATTCGGCCCTCGGCCCTTACTTTGAGGACCCCTGGATTAAATCATCTAACTATTGAATCTGCTGCCCTAAAGGTTGGCAGTTCAAAGCCGTGGGTCAGGATGAGCTGTTAGCCCTAGCTCCTGCCAACCTAGCATTTCAAAAACATGTAAATGTGAGTAGATCAACAGGGACCGCTCCAGTGGGAAGCTAATACAGGCACCCATGCTGGCAACATGACCAGGAGATGTCTACAGACAGCAGGCTCCTTGGCTTGGAAATAGAACAAGAGAACCTCCCCATGACCTTAGTTGAGCGCCACCTCCAGAAAGCCGGAGATGAAAGGGAAAGCCTTTACCTTTGTTCTGTGTATGTGTATGTCATTGTTCTTCCACTGCATTGAAGGCATTGAATGTTTGCCTATCTGTGTATGTTGTAATCCACTTTGAGTTCCCTCGTGGAGATAGAACAGAATATAAATAAAGGGTTATTATTGTTGTTATTATTTTCCAGGCTCTTTTTCATGGCTTTGTTGTTAGAGTTGTATTCATTGTTGATTATCAGCTATTATCCCTTTTAGGATCTGGTGAAAAAAACAACTGTAATCCTTTAAGTCACTTAATTAAAGTCAGTGGGGTTGAATCATAACTGGAAACATTTCTTGTTCCAAATGTTCATCAAAGCAACTAATGTTCCATGCATTTATCTATCATCTAGCCTTGAACACAGTTCTGTTTCCCAGGTGCTTCAACAAAACACTACACTTGAAATTCAGACTGAACATACATCTGTGATACAATGCATTTTATTAATGGAAACATTGTTTCCTACAAGCCAATCCCAAAACAGGCATTAGTTCACAATATTTAGACAAAAAAAATTAATAGTACTTCTTATTAACAGAAGGAAGGAAGGGTCAGTTTGGTGAGAAGGTAACAACAAGAAAGGCGAATTGATTACACAAATAAAAATCCAAGGACACAAAGTCAATGTAGAGAAACAAACACAAATACATGAGAAATGGAGTCAGGGAAGCGAGAGAGGTTGAAGGGAAAGACAAGGTTAAAAATTGAAAGTCAACTATAAGCCTGGCACAGCATGCTTGATAACTGGAAAATAGAGTGAAGAAAAATGCTTGAAAATAAGGTTGAAGCAGAGTTTGAAGGGATTTAACATACAGCATAACCCCTAACCTGTGCTCACCTGAAAGCACCGATTGAGCAGTCAAGCAGCTGGAGTCTTATAATGTTACAATACAAGAGATAGAAAAGTCATGCTAAGTGCAATCCAGGAAATAGGAATTAGTGCAGTTCAGAAAGGGTTAACATAAAATTCTGTTTGCAGTAGCTGCCATTACAACTCATGGAAATAATATCTTTGCCTCCCTCCTGCCCATAATAAATAAATTTGGTGCCTGGACTACAACTTGCCACTCTGCAACAACAGAGATAGACAAACCCTTCATTATCACAGGGCAAGAAATGTAATAACTACTCTGTTCAAGGTAGGATCCGTCACAGTGATATTACTTTTGGTAGCAATCTTATGGCCATCTTAATATCTAATCTGTTATGACTGTGGAAAAGAAAAGAAAATTGGCTTGTAAAAGCTTTCAATGTTTTCAGCAACTCCTACTAAGAAAAAAGTCTCAATGTGTCAGTCTGCCCAAGGATACAACAGACTGTGTTTGATAGGCTTCATTTCCAGTGATATTTTTGGAATGATTATTACCATCAAGACACAAACAATAAAAACACCTCCTTAGGGTGATTTTTATACCTTTTCCCAAAAAAGCTGAAGACATGTTTAGAAGAGAATTGGTATTATGGAGAGAAAAGGTACATATCCCCAAGGCTCTCTTTTCGTAGTTGAACTATATGGACTTCAGATTAATTGCATGGGACTATAGATGGGAGGCTTCTTTAGAGATGAATATCATAACCCACTGGGCTGCCACAATCTTAGCTTCTCTAATGCTGTTGAAGTGGTTACTAACCAAACTTGTTGAGGATTAATGAGGATCATTTTCATTCTAAGGCTTTGGGACCACTTTGGGTAAATTATGATTTGAATCCTATTGACAATCTCAACTACAGTAGGCTCACTGAGTCACCCGTTGAATGGTCAGTACATATTTATGTATTCTGACCATATTGATAAATAGTGTTGCTTTTTAATGCTTTTATTGTTTTTTATATGGTTTATACTATATGTTAATGTTTTACCTATATTTTATGTTGTCTATTTACATTCAGTATTATCCCACTGCAGGTCTCCCAACAGAAATGATCTTCTGACATTCCTCTTGCAAGGACAGGAAAGATCCATCATAATCAGAGTAAGCCTTTTTATTCTGAAAGCTATCAATAAAAGAGCAGATTTCCTGAAAGAAGAATCAGGAAAATATGATGCTGACTGTAAATAGAAGGTCAGCTGCTGTCCTCACATTTTTGCCTCTTTTTTCCCTCGTGTTCTATTTTGAAATGGTCATATGACTGGTCAAATAAATAAATAATGTTGTTGTTGTTATTGTTGTTGGGGGCATTGAATTATGCGGATGGTAAACCGCCTTGAGTCGCCTTCGGGCTGAGAAAGGCAGTATATAAATATGGTAAATAAATAAAATAAAATAAAATCTAAATGGTTTACTCTGGTTGGGGCAACCAATGGAATTTGAGCTAATTTCTCTTCATCTATAGATTTAAGACATTCAATGATTTCTTCTTGGAAGACGAGCTTCATTGTTGCATATGCATGCAAAGATTAAAAAAATGACACTTGCTCCTTATACACATAATGAAAGATTAAAGACTAAAATTTGTGTGTGATAGTGGACATCTAGCTAGACCAGAATTTGAGGCAGAGTTGTGGGTCTGGTTTGGTGAGAGGTTGATCAAGGACAGTGGTTCTCCACTTGTGGGTTCCCAGATGTTTTGGCCTTCAACTCCCAGAAATCCTAACAGCTGGTAAACTGGCTGGGATTTCTAGGAGTTGTAGGCCAAAACACCTGGGGACCCACAAGTGGAGAACCATTAATCTAGGAGTTAGCCCCGTTTTGTTACATCTAGCCCTCATTTTGCTCCTAGACTGCTATTATTATTATTATTATTATTATTATTATTATTATTATTATTATGTTGTTGTTGTTGTTGTTGTTCATTCATTCAGTCATCTCCGACTCTTCGTGACCTCTTGTCCTAATGCCAGATTGCCCTTACGTGGACAGGAAATGTGGAGACTATCTCTTTGCCATTGGCTGATGTGTTCTAGTATTATAGGTCTTGCTACCTTAAGAGACAGACATCTGCTTAAAGCAAATTTGGCATCTACGGACCTACATCAATGGCATTTGAATAATGGTACTTTTTTGGATAATGTAAATTACATAGCCATTGTACCACTGACTGGGAAACCACAGTGAGCAAGCAGAGGCCCACTCAGAGTCCCCTAAACTTAAGTCAGTGCTCCTAATGCTAATTATGGGTTTATACTAAAAATAAAACAGTGCAAAAACAGTCATATCTTATTTCAGAATCCTCTCCAGCCATTATAGAGAATAGAGAGTATTTTTGTTCGTTCTTAGGCACTAATGCCATGTGATGTAGATTAATTTCTGTATAAGTTTCAGGTTAGGTTTCGGGACATGGTGTTCCAACTGTTCCTGAATTTTACTATAGGCTTTCCTCACTTTCCTTGTGCCTTGCCTTATTTCATCTTTTTTCCACCTCATGAACTACGAGGTCTAAGGGATGCTTCGGATTTCAATCTTCAAATCCTGTATAAAAGCATTTATTTAACTCGGATTTGTGATGGCAGAAAGATTCAGGTTTAAAGTTTTCTGTTTCTAAAATTAAGGCTGTATACCATTTTACAGAAAGGGGGGCTCTTTCTTTATCTTAAGGCTTTTCCTGTCACTTAATCTGACATATAATTTTGGAGGGCACAGCAGCAACACTAAATTGTAGCAAAATCAGATGTTAAAAATGTGCTATGACATTCAACAGACAATAAGATATCTACTCTTTCATGACTCAGACATAAGCTACAGCAGTATATGTTTATGAAGACTGAGATAAGTGCAGATAGGGAACTGACAAAAGTTGTTATAGCTGTATGATCCCTTCAAAAGAATAAGGAGGTTGGTTAGGAATTGAAGGGGAAAGAAATAAAAAAAGGCTTTCAATCTCTCAGGGTCTAAAGTCTGCAAGCTAAAAGGAATGATTGGTCCATACCCATAAATTCAATCCCAAGATGCTCTGCCAATGCAGAAAGTTGACATAAAAAGAAAGAAAAGGGAAAATAGTTTCAGAAAAGAGCAATGCACTGTACCGAAAAAAACAAATTACACATGGATATTATACCTATTTGGTGTCTGCACACTGAGACAGGATGAATGGCATGAGATTAATGTGGCAAGAACTATATAAGCTTTGGCAGGTTTGTGTATCCATTTAGGAAAACATGGCTTAGAGCCAATACACACTGGCATCCAATCTGAAATGGGCGAGGAACATGCAGCCCTACCGACCTTGTTGGGCTGCAAGTTCAACATCTCGATTTAGAAGAATATGGTAAAAGCACCAATGCATTAACCCTTAAAGATATTGCTGATACGTCATGGTTATAGGCTATCTATTGAAATTGCTCACTGTAGGAACTTGGTACGATACTATCTGCCCATCAATGTATGAAATTTGTTCAGTTCTTTATGTGTACAACCTATGATCTTACTTCTAGAAGGCTACAGTTTTCCACTTATGTTTTTTTTCCCATTCTACATAGGGCTGTATTAAATTGACTTCAGAGTATTATTCACTGAGACATACCAGGGTAAGGAAATCCTTATTGAAATTTTCTAATGTCATCCCTAATTTTCATGCAGCAACACAGTATTCTTCTCTGTTTTTGTGTTTTTGACAACTGACTTGTAAAACTCACTTGGCTCAACAAATGAGGCACACAAACAAAGAAAAAAATGGTTGTTTTCTGTGATATAGATTTCCAAAGAGGAGACAGAAACAGAGGGTTGCCTGCCTTTCCTTATTTTCTATTATCAGAAACCTATATATATATTCCAAAATATATAAAATTTAGTGGCCAAGAGCTGACAAGATACAACTGAAGTGCTTAGTTCCTAACGGGTGCTTGTTCTGCTCTGGCCACATTCCTAGAGACAATCAATAAAACATTTTTCTGGCAATGAAGCTATATGGATTCCCTCGGCTACAGACTATGTTGGTTTTGGAATTATTTTTGAATAGGTTGATGTGGACTGGAAAACCCATCTTAGCCGTATGATGTGAGCATGAGTGGCACATAACACTTTATTTTATGTAATATATGGCTGCTGGCTTTGCTGTAACATCTGGGAATGCTCATGGCATCCTCAGCATTTTACTCATCAGCCTCTGCATGAAAATCTTGGCTGCTATATTTAGGAAGACATTGTTGAGCTCTACTCGATATGCTTCAAAACAAGATGGCTCTTCTGTCATGTATATTTAAACAAACACTACGTATTTTTTAATTATTTGAAACTTTTAGGTATCTGTGTGTGCAAACAGTTGTAAACAAAAAAGCTCATCTGATTTATGCTCAAATGTCTGTATCTCTGTCCTCATTTCCCCATTCCTCATCTGTCTTTCCATCAATCCATCCATCCTACTTTCTTTCCCCCCCTCTTTCCATTCTTTCTTTCCAGCTACCTTCTAATCTATTAATCTGTTTTCTGCTTCCTTGGAGACTAGGACGCGGAGCAATGGCCTCAAACTACAGGAAAGGAGATTCCATCTGAACATTAGGAAGAACTTTCTGACTGTGAGCTGTTCAGCAGTGGAACTCTCTGCCCCGGAGTGTGGTGGAGGCTCCTTCTTTGGAGGCTTTTAAATAGAGGCTGGATGGCCATCTGTTCGGGGAGCTTTGAATGAGGTTTTCCTGCTTCTTCGCAGTGGGTTGGACTGGATGGGTCTCTTCCAACTCTAGGATTCTATTATTATCTCTGTGTAAAGACCCTCATAAGTATCAGCAACATTTTAAGGGTTAAGATTAAATTCAGAAGGTTTTTTTTAAGGAGCCAGTATTACATGCCAACATGAACACTACTAACAATATATACTAGTTGCACAGAAAGCTTGGTTAAGTATCCAGTAGCATTAGTAACATGCTCATGCATATATATATTATTGCATTTTTGCTGAGTCTGCATATATAAAGGAAATGGTTTAGATTAAATTTAATTGTACCCCAAACCACTCATTTCAGATAGCTTCTGCTTGAAATAATTCAGTGGGAAGTTGGTATTCAAATTGAATATATTCTGGCAGGTAAATCTTAGCTAAAAAAGCATGCAGAGATAACATGCATTCTAACTCCAGACTAATATACGTTTTGCTTCAAGTGATATTTGATATTTATGATAATCTTCTATTGTTTTAGATCTTATCACTTGTGATGACATAGTAAGAAAACATTGCCTAAAACATGAACAAAATCTATTCTGGCAGCCTATGCATGGAACAATCAGCACAGATTTGTTCAAAAGAGCCCTGCTGGCAATTTTTCCATCAGTAATGCACTGGACTGGATTTGTGGATGGCCAACGACATCAATTTCTTTGTCCAAGAAGCTGCGCGTACAAGGATGGGCATGTTAAGTGATTTCAATTCAGATATGGTTTCATGTTGATTAAAGTTGTAGTAGTGATCATAACAATGTTACAATAAGCTGTTTTTAAAGTTGTAACTGGTACACAGCTATGTTGCCTTATATTTGAAGGAATGTGATAAAGTCTGGGTATGTGAAATTAAGATATTTATGGTAGAGTGATGACATCTATCCTCTCTCTGTGCAAGAAGCTCTGTTTGGCTCCTTCAACACATATGCAAAGAGATGAAATTGTTAATGTTTGTCTCTCAGATAGTAGGAACTTGGGCTCATACAAGTGGATCGGACTCTGCCTCTATGTTATGCCCACTTTATATATTTTGAGAACTGGTTGAATCCTCCTGAATTTGAACTCTTATGATAGCATATCAAGCATAATAAATTACTCTGCCTCTATTTAAAACACATGTTTAAGAAATATGAGTAGATGTGGCTTTGTAAATACTCTGAATTATTTTTTTGAGACAGATGGACTAATGATTCTGGTGAAAGGAAAATCATTAAGTACTTAAAAAATAGTAACCTTGAATTGTGTTACTGAGAAACCTTTGAAGAATAGTAATTATTGTAAATAAATAGGGGGATGTCTATATCTTAGAAACAGTGGAAGTAGAGTAAGGATGTAACCATAACCATTAGCTGGGAAATTTGGAGTCATATATCTCATCCGCCCCACTTTGTATTGTTAATTGTATTACACTAGGTAACAAAATTTGATACATTGTTCCTGGTTTGAAAGTATTATTCCTCTTTAACTATTGGGTACTTACTTTGAAAGTAGTTGTTATAGTCCAAAAACTTTGTTTTTGTGGCTGCCACAACCTATGTTGAATTGGTTGAGATTCTACAATAGGGATGGACAAACTAAGGCCTGTGGGCTGGATTCTGCCCTGCAGGGGCTTTCTTCCAACCCTCTCCTTCTTCCCTTTCTGATAAGTTGTGCTGGGGAGATGTAGATGCTTTCGCATATGCCACTGCAGGGAGAAGGGCAACAGAACAACTGCGACACTGGGGCGAGATAGGTCGGAGTGTCCCATAACAGTCCCCTCGGACTCAAGGTCCTGCTGTTAAATGCTAGGTCTGCAAATGGTAAAACAGTGGCCATCCAGGATCTGATCCTGGATGAACAAGTAGACCTAGCATGCATCACTGAAACCTGGTTGGACAAGCTGGGGGGTGTCAAGCTCACCATGCTCTGTCCTCCAGGCTTCAGGGTGCATCAGCAAGCCAGACCCGGGGGATGGAGGGGTTGCGGTGGTTTTTTGTGAGTCGATCTCCCTGTTCAGGTGTCCCTTGATACAATGCACTGGGTTCGAGAGTGTTCATTTAAGAGTGGGTAACTGGAACAGCTTGGGGATTCTGCTAGTGTACTGTCCACCCCGCTGCACAGCAGTCTCCCTGCCAGAGCTAGCAGGGTAGTTTCCGACCTGGCATTGGAGTTCCAACAGCTAATAGTGCTGGGGGACTTCAATGTCCACATGGAGTCCACCTTTTCTGGAGCGGCTCAGGTCTTCATGGCTGCCATGACAACTGTTGGGCTGTCCCAAGTGATTTCAAGTCCCACTCATGTAGGTAGTCACACTCTGGACCTGGTCTTTATTGCAGATGGGGGTATCATTGGTGTGGAAGAGCTAAAAATCCTTCCATTGTCATGGACTGACCATCACCTGATCAGTTTTAGGCTTACTGCAATCTCGAACCTCTGCAAGGGTGGAGGACCCATTGAGATAGCCCACCACAGGAGACTTATGGATCTAGAAGGATCTGTCTCTTGGGGATCTGTAGGGAGAAACACGCCTACTTCTCCTCTTCTCTTGGCACAAGGAACTTACTGCAGGTGAGTCACTGTGCTGAGAGGAGAGATCCAGCCCAGCAGGAAGGCATGTGGCTGATTTCTATCAGCTGTGCATGTTTTTCTCCTCCCGTCAGCACAACGATCTAGCTGGGTTGCTATGTCAAGAAGAAATGAGAGGCCAGGCCCGGGGGAAAGGCACACAGCTAATATATGCCTTTTGCAGGTCTTTTACCAGTGCACATGACACTGCACCCCCGCCATGTGTGCCCACCACGCTGGCCTCCCTTCCGACAAGTAAACTGCCCTCACCCCCCCCCCCCCCCCCACGATGCTTTCTCACCCTGGCCCACCCATCTCTGCCTGGCCCAACCCAGCCCACAGCCCCCAGGCTCAAAAGTTTGCCCATGCCTACTCTGTGAGATAGTCACTGAAAAACTATAGCAAAATAGTTTTCCCCACAAAAACTAATTTTTTTGTCCCACAAAAACAACATTTTTGCAGGTTAATAAACTTTCCCCAAGGTTTTATGATAGAACCAAATAGGAAATGATATTTATAACCTGGGAACAAAAAATCATGTCACACAGTGTTATTGTATCAAATTTGTTTTGTATGTAGGGCAGTTGTAGTTATTTGTAGCTGTAGTTTATGTAGTTATTTGTGGTGTATATTTTTCCTCCTTTATGTTGTTTTTTTGCTAGGGAAAATCTTTGTGTTTAATAAAAGTATTCTTTTAAAAAGAAAACACTCTGATTTTTAAAATATTTAAACTAGCTTAATATGACTTAGAAATCCCTCAAAGAATCTATAGCTGTTGGAATGCCTCTCAAAACCAAAAACTGCATGTTTTATGGTTTTACAGTGAAATAATTTCAACATGGGATCTCTTACTTGATTGTCATGTATAACAAATAAATGTGCAAATTATAAAAATCGATATAAACATGAGCTATAGAAATTTATTTAGATTAATTATAGAATCAGTTGTAATTTTTTTACAACTCTTAAACAAATCTTCCATAGTTGCTTTGAAGTTATGACGTAATATATAATAAGGCAAACACACAACTTTCAAATAATTATTCTAATCAGACAAACTTTCCTTTTTAATTGTGTGTGTTCATCTATACTTGCCCATTAAAGAAGCCTCTAAGTGCTTCCCTATTGATTTTTTTTGCTGGATACATCATGAGGTAACATTAATGATAATGGCTTAAAAAGATTTGTGGTACATACATTTCATGTAAAAGTAAAGTAAGTGTAGGTTGGGCTTCAAATGATGTCACAGACAATGGGAATACTTTAGAAGTAAGGATTTAGGTTTGTATTCCTGAGTCAAGTCAATTATTTTAATGACTAGGAAAAAATGCAGCATTAATGTAAAGCCTTCAAATGATTCGGCAATATCTCTGTGTTACACATGTGTCTTAATCTATTTTGGACTAGCTAAACTATAATTGTTTTGCATGGAAAATAAATTTGAAAATTCATATGTATTTCTCATTTAGGCAGTAGAAATGGCAATGATCTATGCTTATGAGCTTTTTAGTGCTTAAGTTAAACATTTGGTCACACAAAGTCTGATCAACCTCCCAGAAGAACACTTGGGAGAGGAATGCTTAGAATGGTTACTATAAATAATTCATGTACCATTTTTTTTATCATAGATGTGGAGGATGAGCCTACATGACCAATAAATGTTATGTACTAATGGAAGTGACATTGAGCTAGCATTCAATAAGCGAAATCTTCCAGAGATGTTGATAAAACTATCAACAAATACTTTTATCTTGCCAGTTACTCTTTTCAAAAGACAGTTGGAAGCCAGTAATATATCTTATACCTATGTATGAGAACATGAGGGGCCATGTGTGGCATAACAAGTTAAACCGCTGAGCTGCTGAACTTGCTGACCTAAAGGCTGGCAGTTTGAATCTGTGGGATGGGGTGAGCTCCCACGTTAGCTCTAGCTCTAGCTGTGCCAATCTAGCAGTTCAAAAATATGCAAATGTGAGTAGATGAACAGATACTACCTTGGCAGGAAGGTAAAAACACGCACAAATCCAGAAAACAAATCCAGAATGAATTCTAAATTCTGAACTGTATTCCAAGCAGAGAGTGCATGTATTTGTGCCATATTGTATTATTTCCCCAGAGGTGTATTGAAATATTTATATATCTCAGCCTGTATGTTTGTTTGAGTGATTTTTAATTGGGTATGGTAGATGAAAGATTATCAGGAAACCCATCATACTAACTACATTTCCGTACATCATTCTTTTTGAAGGGTGGGGGGGACAACTAATATTTGTGTAATACTGCATTTTATTTTACAATTTATACTCAAGTTTACATTGTAACTGCTGAACATCAGCTATAACTTGAGTAGACGTCAACTGTTAATTTCCTTAATTGTGCCATCCAGTCTAGCTGAATTCCTGAAATTGCTTGTAATCGTGTCCATGCAAACATGCAGAGGCAATCTACACTAAAGCACATGTAATCCATTTAGTTACAGATAAAAAAAATCTGAGGAAAGCTGCAGCAACAAGAAAGCAGCACCAATTAAGCATGCTCCTATTCAGGCAGAGACAGAAAGAAAGTGGACGTACTGTAGAAGCTGGCCATTACGTAGTTTTGACAGCGATCACCAGTAAATTCATTTGGGCACCTGAGAGTAAAAACAAAAAAAAACAAACGGGTAGAGAAAACGGAGAAAAAGAGAAGAGGTAAATACACACCAAGAAAGAGCCTCCTTTAGTGTGAGCGACCTGGGCTTGGTGCATTCATCTTGAGAAAACGGGATCTTTTTCTCACTGCCATAAAGACTGATGATTTTGAGAAAGATGTTGCTTTACAAAAGCCAAACTGATGTGAACTTGATAAAATGCTGAAGTTACAACATTTTAACAGAACAACGTGTGCTTGTGTCAGCCCTCTTTTTTTAGAAAGCTATGGAAGAAAATTTTAAAACTGAATTTTCTACTAATAAAAAAGTGTAGCAATATGGAAAGCGGACACTGATGTTATGCCAAACAGATTAATGTGCACAGTTTAAAGTCAAAGGCAGAAGGAAAAGGACCCAGTTCCATCTGAAGAGTGAAAACACCAAGTGACACTGATTGTGATTGCTGCAGTTGGGAGAGAAAGCAGATTTCTTATTATTTTAAAACATACTTTCTGGATTTTGGATTTTCATGGGCACAACTTCAGCACATCTTGCTCCTGAGAATCCAGGTATACACCTAAAGGGCAAAAATGTGATCAGAAATCGAAAAAACATCTCAGAGAAAGAGAGGCAGAGAGATTATTGCATTCTGTTTCCTATGGAACATGAAACTCCTCCAAAAGTCCTCTGAGAGAGAAAGCAATGAATGAAAAAAGCCAAATCCTTTCTGGGAACATTATAATTGCATATGTCCAAATTGTAGTTTTTATGATAGAAAATCTATATTAAGAAACACAGAGTCAGAATGGATTTTCTCAAGAATTTTTAGCTGATTAACCATAGACTCAGGGGCTGTTTTTCTTTGATACGAGCGCCTGACAATGAACTAATGACTATCATATTGGCAATCATTTGCATTGCACAGTCAGCGGGAATATTTCACCTCTTTTTCTGTCAAGTCATTTGAGTTCATATTTATTTTTAAACAAGGTAAGGTAATGTGAAAGGCAAAGTGCAGTTTATTTTTATGCTGAATAATACTGAAAACCGATGCACAAACTTAAAAAAACATACCCTAAAAGGAATTAATTAAATATTAATTTACAAGCACATCATGTCAAAAATATAGTAAGCAATAATCCTCAGCTGATTAACTACAAGAATGTACAGCTTTAAGAGCCCAAAACAAGGAACAGAATCATTGCAAAAGGTCTAAAATATGGTTCAAAGAGAGAAATTTAATTCCTATCTCTACTGAAAATAATTTCCCCATCTATTTGATTTCCTAAATATGGAGGCTGCAGTTTATTCAGAGCATCAGACAACCCCATAGTGAATAATTTAACTGCTATTTTACCATTACCAAAAATGTACCCTACATCTTCAGACTCAAAAGGACATGACTTTGAGGACTCTTCCATGGTGTTCATCATGACTGAAAGCAAGATCTACTTTGGAGTGTTGATACATCGCTTGTATAAGAAGTGTATTAATGAGCCATAGGCTCAGGTGTTTTTATAATGAGTTTGTTAGAAATCACCTCTAATTTATTCAAGGTCATCATTCCCAGCTTTTTTAATCCACCTTCACTGAAATCATATATACTTAGGCGATCCAAGGATGATGGTCCTCCAAGTGTAGTATCCTGGCGGTGGGTCCGTAGGTGACTGTGGAACCCTATTCTTGATCTGCATGTTCTCCCACAGTGAGGGCATTGGTTTCCAGGTGGAAGGCGGTCCCAGTCGGGGTTGGCTTGACGCGCCTTCCTCTTGGCTCATTTCTCTCTTTCACCCTTCAAATCATATATACCCTTCAAATCATATATCCACCTTCACTGAAATCATACTTCACTAAATGGGTATTGCAAACAACCCGCACGCTCCCTTCGCTCATCCGGAGAGACCTTGCTCATGATCCCACCTGCGTCGCAAGTGCGGTTGGTGGGGACGAGGGACAGGGCTTTCTCTGTGGTAGCCCCCCCGACTCTGGAACACCCTCCCCAAGGAAATCATACAAGCCCCTACGTTGGCAGTCTTTAGGAAGAGCTTGAAGACCTGGCTATTCCGGTGTGCCTTTCCAGAATAGGAAACTCCAGCAACACATCCCAGAAGCACTTTATTAGAGATTAAGATTGTCCGCACATTGCACTTATCCAAAAATCCTTATATCTCACTCAGAATACTCAGCACTTTTTAATCTATACCCATTACATTTGGCCCGGCCTAGTTTTATTGTGTTACGGTGTACTGTTTTTATTGTTTACTGTTATTGCTTTAATGTTTTGATTTGCTTTTGGTTCATGTGTATTTGTTATATTGTTGTTTTATTGAGGCCTTGGCCTTTGTAAGCCACATCGAGTCCTTCGGGAGATGTTAGCGGGGTACAAATAAAGATAATAATAATAATAATAATAATAATAATAATAATAATAATGTGCCCTACTCAGACCGCTGACACTGAAACAACGCCCACTACAATATACAATGTCAGGTTCGAACATTTCTTGATTGAGTGTCCAGCATATACTGAACTGCAGTACAGATATTTACATCCAATATTATCCAATTTTAGGTCCCCCAACAGAAATAATCTTCTGACATTCCTCTTGCAAGGACAGGAAAAATCCACCATAATCAGAGTAAGTCTTTTTATTCTGAAAGCTATCAAGAAAAGAGCACATTTCCTGAAAGAAGAACCAGGAAAATAAGATTCTGACTGTAAATAGAAGGTCAGCTGCTGTACTCTCCTTTTTACCTTGTCTTTCAGTTGTGTTGTATTTTAAAATGGTCATATGGCTGGTCAAATAAATAAATAATTATTATTAATAATAATAATAATATTCAGCAGAGTTTCAGAAGTGTTCTTTTTAGTTAGCCCAAAACATTGACTGTTCTTTAAAAATATAAATATATACAATGTCAGGAACACTTCCCACTACACACACACATGAAAAAATACCAAGGTTGGAGAGAGGTTTTTCCTCCCAAAACTAACTAAATAAGATTACTTTTCTTAATGGCGAAAAACAGGAAAGAAGAGATTAAACTTAGTATGACTATGCTTATTGGTCTCCCTCCCATCCTACCCAGTACTTAGACTTAGCAAGCTTTAATCTTCCATAAAGCTTCCAAAGCAGTGTCTGATCTCTTCACCGATGGCACACAGCTGGAGACTTATTTAGAGAATGGTTGCTTTCCAGGATGCTCTTGCAATCTGTAGCTTGTAACGCAGGTACAGTGGTGCTCTCTTCTTTTTGTACCACAATTTCGAATGCTTCAAAAACTCATAAAGCTGTTCCTTTTAAGAGCTTGTAAGCATTTTACCAGGACTTTCAGCATGAGATTCTTTTATATTCCTTCCATAAAATGTCTCTGAAGAGAGAGCTGGGAAAATAACGACTTTCACCCCTGTAAATTGCAGAGTTGGCATTGGAGCAATAGATTGGACCACTTAAAAAAACTTGGAAATCTAGCCTTTGTGCCTCTCACAAACTGCTTTTTAAGGGTTTAAGGATAAGCACTGTATGTTATTATATAACAAAGTAAGATATTATTGATTTCAACCTGTAGGTGAAAAAGTTGACAGAAAAACATCAGCTCATTTGAAATGTGGTGATAGAGGAAAATCCAATAGATACCATGGATTGCCAAAATATACACATTTTCAAGACTGAATGTTCCTTAGAAACGCACATTACTAATTTGTGTTCACTGTACATTGGATGTAGTATGAGATGAATCATTGAAAAAGGTGGTAATATTTCGAAAATGAGATAAAGCTTTTTAACAGTTGTAAATTCTTGGGAAAGGTGAAGGCAATAAAAAAGAGGAAAACCACATTACAGGTGTACCATAAGGGCCGTAGCTAGAAAAAATATTCGGGGGGTGGTGGTGGTGGTGGTGAAACTTTTTTTAGCAAATCATGAAGAGTAGTTCGATAACATAACAACATTTTAACAGTCCAAAGACCCTTATTGCTCCATAAAAGGCATAAGATACAAGGTATGCAAGGTTAGTAAGGCCAAAAATAGCAAAAAAACCCCCACAAAACAGTTGTTTTTTTTTACCTGAAAATTTTCGGGGGAGGGGATTGAACCCCTAAAACTCCCCCCTGGCTACAGGCCTGTGTACCATGTCAGTAGACTAATTCATTACCAAGACCTGAGCAGGTCTGTTGATAACTGGGGCATTGGGAGGTTTTCCATTCATAGTCACCATAACTTAATAGTAATGGACAACAGCAGCACCAGTAACAACAACCATTTCTGTCAACATGCTTAAAGTGATTCCCTATTAACTTCATTGCATTGTTTAGCCATTTGACTAGAAAACCTATATTATTGTTTTTCATTTTCTCAGAGGTGCTTTGAATTCATATGTTCAGCCTTCTGTCCGCATTTTCACAATCATCTATCTTGTTCTCCCATCTCATGGGAAGATCTGGAGTCCATTGTTTTTTGTCATTGTGTGTCATGCTTACAGTGAAGTCTTCACTTTATGATGCTTCCAAATATGTCATCTTTGAAGGAATGGTAGCCAATTTTGCAACGGTCAGGACTAAAACAACCGGCCAAAGTTTTTTCACTTCTGCAAAGTTGCACTAAGTTTTCAACCATTTCATAAGGCAATCCATTTTCTCTGCCCTTACAGCCTCTCAATCTTTTATTTGCACCTGCTGTCATCTTGTCCGCTCCTGAGGATGAAGACAAAGGTGCTGCCATTTCTTTTGCTTGTAAATAGCTCACAAGGCTCCAATGTGCCTTTCATTTCTGAAATAGTCTTCCTTGTTTAATTTATATCTTGCCTTTCTCTGAATATGAGACCCAAGACAGCTTTTATCTTAGTTGTTCAGAATTTATAAGAAACGATAATGCTTCTAGATTGCATCACTCATGGGTCTTTTCTCTAATTTAGTACAAAGGTGAATTTATTGACCCAGTCAAGTAGGTAGCAGTGACAATGAAAAGATGAAAGAATAAAGAGTTAAAATTAATGCTATGCTTGCCAATGACATAAATAGATATGGGCAACAAAAGTGGTCATGAGGTTTCCACACACTTATGAAAATGGAGCTGAGTGGCTAAGTAAATGATTCAAGCAATATCCACATCATTTTAACCCAGGATAAATTGGGATATCGGACCTCAAATCCAACATCTATTGTAATGGTACTTTCTCATCAGAAAAAATAATAGTGTATAAGTCAAAGTTTATGGGTTTTAATTAATTCTAATGCATTTGCTTCATCAGTCGAATTATGAAGACAAAATGAAGCTTTGTAAATTAAGTTTACCTTTGTAAAGGCTTTAAGGTTTCAGATTAGCCTAATTCATATATGTGGCTTCATCTTTTATAGGACATATTTATTTTCTATTATAGGGCTTCATCCATCAACAACCTTTGTCCATTACCATTCTTTGTTATTCTGAATAGTATACTGGGCCATGAACATATGGTTTGGATTAATAAGCACCCATTTCCCTCAATCCATCTCCTTCTCATCAGAAATACAGGTGTTAAGTTCCTTTATAGAAGCCGAGGTGCATGAAATGTTCATTCGGCAGGCAGATCTACCTCCTTCTTCTATGGATACCCCTTTCTGACATCAGCAGATTACCAAGTGCTAGCTCAGAGCTCCACAGAAGGCAGCAATGATAACACAAAGGTTGAGGTGATAGTCCAGTGGACCTGGTGAAGTCTGAATCCATTTGGACTCTGACCCTGGATCCAACACATATGCCAGATCCAAGGCTACTCTGGACTGGATATGACAGGAGCAACCTGCCCAGTGTAGGCATAGTATGAAAAAAAACATGGAGAGATAGGTGGAGTCTCAGTGGCTAACAAAAGTTGAATGGAACGGAAACAGGGTCTTGGGCAAAACTACTGACAGAGTCCATGAAAGGAAAGGCTGTGTGCTATGGGAAGGCAGGAAACGATTCCACAAGGAGGCAGATGGTGACTTAGATGGGAATCTACAATTTTTACTGGAAAATCTGTCAAGTGCAGTTGTTATAATCATTGCAACACACTATCCTGACAATAACCAAGTTGTAAGGAAAGCCAAAAACAAATGAGTAGCAGTAGTGATTCCAAAATTCATGTATTGATTTCACTTAACCAATTCTTTAGTTTTAATGTCCTTTCAACTTTTTTCTAAACCTTTGATTTATGATTAGTTCTAATATAGCTAATACAAGACAAATAAGAACTGTTGAAGACTTTCATGTTTGGAATCACTGGGTTGCTGTGAGTTTTCCAGGTTGAATGGCCATGTTCCAGAAGCATTCTCTCCCGACGTTTCGCTCACATCCTCTGAGGATGCCTGCCACAGATGTGGGCATAACGTCAGGAGAATGCATCTGGAACATGGCCATACAGCCCGGAAAACTCACAGCAACCCAAATAAGAACTATTCTATTTCGTCTCAACTGTAATATTAAATGCTAATATGGATGTTCCTTGTTTAAGAAATGTAAAGTTACCCAACTGACAATTTACTAGGTAATTGTTTAAAATGGAGGATAAGATTCATTTGTTGACTCGAAGCCAGCAAATGGAAACATAATAAAATCACAACAATTATAGAAATATCTTATTTCCATTACTGACCAGTTTATCTTCACTATCCTTTTCCTGTTTTTCCTAACACAGTAGGATTGATCAATAGATAGCTATTCTCCAGTGGCAACTGTTCAAGTGAGAGAAGAGTAATTCTCATCTGCTAATCTCAATATTATATTTATATTATCATTTAGGTTCATCTTTATCTAAAATGTCAACATGTTAAGCTACAGAAAAAAGAATATTCTTATCATTCAAACACGTGCATTTGTTAACTAGACAACATGAAGACCTGAGACAAATATATTGTTTTACTTGTATAACAGATGTATATATGGTTTTGGAACTGAAAATGTCTATAAGCAGGTGCCTAATGGATATTTAAGAAATCAGAGCAGAAATAGCAAATGTCACCATTTTTTATGTTATTATAGATTCAAAGAACAATTTATTTTTTTTGTCGTGTCAGGAGCGACCGCTCCTGTTGTGAGAGAATTGACGTCTGCAAGGACATTGCCCAGGGGACGCCCGGATGATTTGATGTTTTATCATCCATGTGGGAGCTTCTCTCATGTCCCCGCATGAGGAGCTGGAGCTGATAGAGGGAGCTCATGCGCCTCTCCCCGGATTTGAACCTGCGACCTCTCAGTCTTCAGTCCTGTCGGCACAGGGCTTTAACCCACTGCACCACCGGGGGCTCAAAGAACAATATAGTTATGGGACAAATTGGCATCCAATCACTGTTGATAACACTTCCTGTTGTCTCATGCTTGTTCCTAACTATGAGTTGTTTGTAACTCGGAGACTGCCTGAATTTAGAAAGCAAAGTCGATTTCCATCAGAAGACAAACACTTTTCATTTATACTTGCCTTTGGCTCTTAACATATGAGAACAACATATTCTATCTTAATATTTATTTAAGTGTACATTGTGTTTTAAGACATTGAATAATTGCCTGTAAAGCTGCCTTGAGTCCCCTCTGGGGTGGGAAAGGTGGGATAGAAATGTCGTAAATAAATACATTAATTATCTTATGGCAGAAGAAGATTTTAATGGATTGTGTTTATCTTTTCAAATTCTGTTTTAATTGTGTTTCTAACTATGTTAACTTTTGGTTCCAGTAGGGTTAATAAATTTCAATAGACTCAAAGGTGTGTTGTTTAATTGTTTTTAAACATTTATATTAATGGTCACCTTGGATCCTGCTCTGCGAGGAAGATGGGAATATAAATGAAATTAAAAATATGTTAAAGATCCACAGCTTTTATTTCAACATTGGTCAGCCACGTGATTTAGGTAAATTCAATAGCAGAGCAAATACTTTAGACTGATCTTCATTTTTTTTAAAAAAAAATTAAAACAGAAGTCTCTTGTATGGTTTTGATGGATGTGTAGATTGCTCTTCTGTTTCTGGCAACAGAAAACATTAATTTAATCTGACAATTAAAAGCTTTCATGTCTTTGCAGCTACAGGGGCAACTCACGGGTGGCAGCTCTGCTTCTTTAAACCGTTCATGAGAATCAGCTCTAAAATATTACACCTATTAAACAGGATGTATCATTAGCACACCCTGCCCCTGGCTGAATGTGGCTGAAATAACCCATTTTGTATGTTGTACTCCCTTGTTTTATTACATTGGTCGCTCCCTTTCACAGTAGTTAGATTCAATATCTGTTCTATGATCGCCAGCCCTAATAACCTTCTTGATTATTTCCAAGCCAGTCCTGTGAAAGGTCGTTAAGTAAAGACAGATTTAATGTTTACTGTAGCAAATCGTTGTAAAGAAAATGCTGAGTGCCACGCTATTACACCTAGTGGAAGTTAAAAATGTATCTTCTCTGTTATCCATTGTGCAGTAAATTATTTACATTAAACAATTTACTAGTTGAAACAGAAATAGCGTTTGCCCATAAAAACTTCATCTCCGCTAGAAAGATTAGAAGGGTTTTCTTACCTGCATAAATATCTTGGATTTGGAAGGTCTTTGACCATGAAACACTCGCCGCCATTTACACAGAAACCTTTCTTATTCACATCACATCTTGTGAGATGACTTGTCCCCGTGGTAGATGTAGAAGTGGCTGGAAGACACAAAGGAGGTAGACAGGGAGGTATGTCAGTATGGTTGTGCTGTATAATATAAAAATGTCAGCACTCACAATATAAAAATATCAGCACTCAGCATAACAACATTTACCATATTGATTACAAAGACATTAAAATGAATATTTTGGCTATAATAATTTGTCCATATGTTTTATTGATTAGCTGATTGAGCATATCAAAACACTTGACAAACACATTTAACACATACACATACAGCTTGCAACTCACAGTACAACATAAATTAAAATAAACAAGCAGTTAACAAGGGATTGAGTTTCCGATCCAGTTCAAATATCTGCATTACCCCTACATTTTACCCCAATCGACTCCAAATACACAGTTCTCAGCTGAGTTGCTTTATATAGAAAAATGGCCAATTTGTATGTTATTTTAGCATTCTGGCTGGCCAATAAAAATGTAGTTTTAATCCAAGGATCTCACTGTGTCTTTTGTATAATGTATGACCCAAGGTATTGGTTTCTATCTTTCTTATACTGTACAAGTTACAACTAAACAGTACATGTGCAATTTCTTCTACCTCTGTCACTCCACAGATACAAAATCATTCATTATATGGAATTTGGTTAGGTCTTCCATGTTTGACCATTGTATCCAGCTGTTCAAATCTAGTTCTGGTAAATACCCTCCTGAGGTGTTTGGGCATTTCGGTCTTTACATCTTGGGCTGTTTGAAAAGTATGTTTAAAACAAACTAGCCATTTCAATGAGCTGGCTTTACTGAAGGTAGCAATTTATCCAGGGTTCATTGTGCAACAATTTTGGGATTTAGTTCTTCTAGGAGATTTGTATATAGAATTGGAAGTCTACAACTCCTAATGTGTTTTCTCAATTGAACTAGCCAAGAGGTCTGATGTTGAGTTTTTGTTTGCTCCAACAGGCACAGTTTTGGTAGTCTGTCATTTGTCATGGCATTCAATTTTACCTAGTAGTTGTATGCCCTAATTATGGATAAACCATCAACTGTATATACTCCCAGTTCTGCTCTTACTGTGGCAGCTGGGGCCCTTTTGTGCAGTGATTGAGATTGTTCTAATAATGGTACCTGGTTTAGGCCCCAAACTTCAGCTCTATATAATAGCATGGGGTAACCTTAGCCTTATATACTTTAAGAAGTGGGTCTAAAGATCCTGGTTGGCTATGATTTGTTAATTTAGGCAGTAGATTTGCATGTACTCTCACTCTGACTGAGTTCTTTTGATGATGTGAGAGCCAGAAACCTATCTCAGAAAAAAACGACTTCTAGGTACATAAACTTGCTCTATTAGTTCACCAACCAGAAGCCATCTGTGTCGTTTATGTCATTTGCCAAATACCATTATTTTTACTTTGATTGTAATAATTAGGGAGGTGTTGTGACAATAAAAATTAAATCGTCTCAGTAGTCTACTTAACCCAGCTTGTGAATATGACAGTAAAATCATGTCATCAGCATATAACAAGATGTTAAAGTGTGTTTTAAGCACCTTAGGCATATGTACCTCTGGGTCCTTCAAATGTTCAGGTAGATCATTTACATATAAGCTAAATAACAATGGTGCTAATATACATCCTTGTCTGACCCCTTTATATGTTTCTACACAGTTTGTCATGACTCCTTGCATCCCAAATTGCGCTTTCAGGTTTGTGTAAAGTGCTTTGATCAGTGCCAGCAATCCGGGTTCCATATTGAGATCAGTTAATTTTCTTCATAACTTCTCTCTATTTAGAGTATTGAATACTGTGCTGAGGTCTATACAGGCAGCATACAGTTGTTTCCTCTGCTGACATATTTTGCAATTATATGATTTAAAACAAAGGAATTGTCAGTGGTTGATCTATACTGCCTGAAGCCAGCCTGTTCTTCAACAAGGATACATTTTTCTTTTTCCCAGCACTCAGATCTGTTCAGGAGATATCTGGTATATATTTTGGCCATGCTATCAATTAAACCAATCGGCCTATAAGCACCAGGATCTTTTTTGTTCCCCTTTATATGCCCATTGATTGCAATATTCCATCTACATCTATTATGCACATTTCAACAATGTCAAACTTCTCTTCAATGCAGAAGAAGTAAAAATGGCCTATGGTCAACTAAAATAGGTCTCTCAGACATAATAGGTTACCTTCAGGTAGAAAAAGTAAGAAAAGTAGGCAGTTTTTAACAGTAAAAGGAGCACGTGGGTGAGCATTAGTGAACTAAAAGGTATGGAGGTTATCTCATGAAAGAGCAATCAATTGTTCCTCTTTCAATTTGCTGTTATTGTAGTTTTACTGTCAGGGATAAGAAGCACGTTTTATAAAAGTTTCTTCTTTAGATGCCAGAATAACTCAGGGCACATCTAAACTGATAACTTAAGGCAGCTTGAAGGCAGCATGAGAATGCAGCATTTACACAACACACACCATGAATGCATATTGCGGCTCACTTTAAGCCCTTTATACCAGGATAAGCAAAATTTGAAGATACTCTGAAACAGAGCTATTAATGTACATTAGTGCAGTAGTATAAACCACATGGCACAGAGGAAGCGACTCTGCAGAATATAAATCTCTTTGTGGACATTAAAATAGCATAAAGAAACAAAAACCATCCAAGATAGCAAGTCAAATTGACAACCAGACCTAAAGACAGTGAGAACCCAAAGATGCCTTGGATGAAAAAAAGATACTTGATTCATAGTGAAAACAGCAACAAATAATGATGTTAAGATTCATACATATGCACATAACATTTTTAAAACAAATGAAGACAATTTGGGAAGTTACAAGCACAGCATCTGCAAAAATATATGCTATAGCAACAATCTTCCATAATCTAGAATTTTCTAAGATTTTTGGACTAGAAGCCTGTTCAAAAAATGTTGGAGATGTAATATTGTTAATGGTTTCTTAACATGTTTGTTTTCCAGCTGTAGCTACATTTTGGGCAAAAGGAATCACATGAGGAAATTGAGCTTTGGAAACTTCTTGATATTCAGGTATATGCATGCTCTTTTGAATTTATTTGCCCGTTTTGTTGAAAATTAACAAATAGTTAAGAGAAATGGATTTTACATGCTGTTTTGATAGTTGGAATATTGATACTTGGTTACTGGGAAAATTTGTTTTGTACTTATGATCCAATGCTTACAACAGTTGAATGAATGATGTATAGTTGAAATTTACAAATGGACTTACATTTGGACATTTGGGTTTTTTTTTAGAAACTCATGACTAAAATGTTTATTTTTCTACTTTTGTTATTTGTGTTGTTGGATAACTTTGAATAATTTTCAACCTATCACAGAGATTTCTTGGCAAGAAGTTTGCAACTGCCTTTCTCTTAAATGCAACTGGCCCTCCACACTTGTGAGTTTGACTTTTTGCGGATTCAATTGTTCATGGATTTGATTAAAATGTTCTCTCTAGGAATCTTTTTGGAGAGAAGGCCTTTTGAGTCATTGTTGGCCATTTTTATTTTTTAAAGTGTCTTTTAAAACAACACAAAACTGTTTGAAAAATAATGTGCTGTTAAAATAGCTTTTAAAAAATGAGTTGCATTATTTAAAAAATAGCTACCGTACAGTATCAAATAATTTGTTAAAACACAATGTAAGCAGTTTTGCATATACAATGTTCCCTCACTTATTGCGGGTGTTACGTTCCAGGACCACCCACAAAAAGTGAAAATCCACAAAGTAGGGACACTATATATATGTATATCAAGTTCTGAGGGTGATGCAAAAGCGAGGAGAGATTTAAAGGTACCACACACTTTTTTTTGTTCTAGCTATCTCTGCTTTGCTTTGCAATCTCTCTTGATTGGCTGCCTCTCTCCCGAGGGGAAGGGTGAAACCCCTTTCCACACTTGTTGCCAGGAGCCGGGATTGAAACACCGCTCTGGGCAACAACAACCATTCATAAACTGGGAGGCAAAAACCAATGAAACAGCAAGTCTGTGAAAAGCAAACCGCGAAATAGAGAGGGAACACTGTACACTCTTATTCATGTTAACCTTAGCAAGTTCCCTCTTATCCATGAGGATAGGGAAATGTTGCTTTAAGTGCTAATCCCATGGGAAAGACCAGGTGCCTTTCCATGTGGATGGGCCACTTAGATGTTCTCCCAGATGCACAACAAAGTGTTCCCCTGGGTATGGAGAATGTCTAAATAGTACAAGCCACATTGATCAAAAAAAGGTAACAGGAAGGCTGATTTTCTTGACAATCCCAAGGTCCCATGTTGTTTTCTGCTGTCAAGTTATTTTCAAATTATGGCAACCCTAACACGGGAATTTCTTGGCAAGATTTGTTCCAAGGGGAGTTGTATTTGCCTTCCTTTGAAGCTGAAAGAGCAACTTGCCCAAGGTCAAAAGCGTGTCTACATGGCTGAACAAGGACTCAAACACTGGTTTCCCACTGCATTAATCCAGTGCACAAACTACTACACCACACTGGTCCATACCACTTCTCTGTTTTGTATGGCTCTCATATTGCTGCTGAATGACTTTAAGCACTTGTCTAAGCTCTAGTAGATGGATCTTGCCTGACTCCCTCTCCTTTCAAAGAAATCTACATTTTAGCTCCATCATATATTATGAATGCATTTATAGCACTTTGGTGTTGAAAATAATTCTATGCCTCCCTGTTTTCATTTCTTAAGCATACACTTATTAATCTATAGGCTATGTTAAGGAGTTTAAGCATGTCAAAATATTTTTTTATTGCATAAACCATTTTAAAGTCACATTTACATCCCCCTTCCACTTTAACCCTCTAAAAAGCCCTTCCTCCTCACGTTACTCTGGAGACACCCTGCAGTTTTGAAAGTGAATGCCTTAATTTGAAAAGAAAGCAATATTGTCTGCTTGAGCTCCTGCAGACAAAGCTTATTACTGCCACAAAGGCTAATGGAATGCTTTAAATTGAATTACAAGGATGGTTGTAGAAGAATCAAGCCTAAAGCCATCTATAATTGCTGGGGCTATCTTGCTT